AGGAGCCGCGCTGGGCGCTTGCTTCATCCGAATTACGACTCATCCTCCTTGTGATGGCTCGTTAGCTTTTCTTGATCCATAGAGCCCAGTACCATGGCTGAGCCTTCCGCTGCCTTTACGTCGTCGCACTCCTTGTTCTGCGCAGCCTGCGGAACCATCCTCCCCGTGCCTGGTGCCGGCGAAAACGTGACGTGCCACCGCTGTAATGCTTCCTTGCCCGTTTCAAGTACGGTCTCACGCACAGCACTGCTTTTGGAAGCCTGGTCTGCCCCATCTCATTCGCTCAACTCCTCGGCTTTGGGCTCACCTTCGATGATGACTCGACCCGCCCTTTTGTGCAGCCTTTGACAAAGTAACGACCGTGTCTTCGAGTCGACAATACGCCTTTCAAAAACCCAAGTACAACACATCCAAGCCCACAGGCCCGACCGATGCCACGGTGCGTCTTGCTCCACTCCAGATGGCATTGTGGACCCCTGACTCGGCTTTCCTACCACTCTGAGAGCCCATGTTCATGATTGCCTGTGTGTAGATTGACGAGAAGTGCCCGCGTTGCGGCAAGCAAGAAATGACGTTTACCACGGCTCAGCTGCGCTCAGCCGATGAAGGACAGACCGTCTTCTACCGGTGTCACGCCTGCAGTTATTCATTCTCCACCAACACATAATCCTGCTTGTATACCAGGCCTGGCCCTGCGGTACACTTGGAGCAGACAGGAGGCAACTGCAACGACTTGGTTCGCTTGGCTCATCGAAGCCAGCAAAGCGTTCCCTCCCCAGTCTTTCTTTGTCTCTGAATTTTTTTATGCAAATCTGTTCAGTTTGCGGATTGATCAAGGGTGTTGGTGTAAGGCTTCCGAGGCCTGTTTGTTTTTCCCGGCGCCTCTTTGCAACCCACGCCAAAGAGTGTTATGACATTATCATCAAGACTCGTTGCATGGTGGCTGGCAAGCGACTGGCGTGAGTTGCCGGGTGTGTAGTTTGCTTGCTCCCGCAATTGTGAAGCCAGCCAGTTTCTTGTAAGTGCATGCGCGTGGATGTGTTCTGTATCAGTCTTCGTCTCTGCCCGATTTTTTTGTGCATGATAGCTCTGGTGTTCTGTATCAGGCGGGCCCTTGCTGTGTCAATCACATGACGGCCAGATTGGCCCGGCCAATTGAGGGATGGATCAAGGATTGGATTCAGACTCAAGGCATGCAGTCACTCACAAAGCTCACTCACAAAGCCTCAGCGCACAGACTCACTTTCTTCTCTGCGCCAAGGCCTTTGTCTGGATTTGTGGCTCTTGCGATGGAGCTGCAGCCTTGACCTTGTCCGGCTGGCCGCACTGGAGCATCAGGGCGATACCACTCCCTAGCAAACGGGCAGCAGTGCGTGAGCACACACAAACAAACCAAAGGATTGTACAACGCAATCAGACGGCGCCAGTCTTGACCAGTCTTGACCAGACAGCCTTCCCATCATAGTTGGCATGATGCCGCGCATAAACATGCCGTTAGCTGGCGACTCACCACCCATCAGCGCCGCACCACAGAGGCCTAGCGTCACGGACTCGGGCCACTGGTCAATGCCCAATAACGCCGTGCAAACGAAGACGTTCAAGGGCACGCGAAACAGGTTCAGAATAGTGGCACGCAGTGCCTCAGGAATCAGGCGACTCCGAACCGTGCTGATACAAGGCCAATACATACCCACGAGCACCTACGGGCAACTCGATGGAGCCGAATGAAAAGTACGCAAGGCTGATCGTGGGGCAATCCGCGCCACATTTTACGGGCATGGAGGAAGGTGGGACAAGGGTGGCGCAATGCACAAACCTCAAATGCAAGCATGGCCCCGAGAAACTGATGAGTTGAGCTGGCAAGAGCCAAACCAGCGCAGGCCACCGCGGCACCCAGCATCACCACCACCAATAGCCGGGAAGCAGTCCACTTGCCATAACTCAGCAGGAGCTTGGCGAGCCCCCCACCCATGGCCACGGCCACCATCAGACAGGCAAAGAGGGTGCCAAAGGGCAAGTCATCGCGCCCAGCCACGCGCTGCAGCGCCGGGGTGTAGAGGAAGACAAACACATACATGGCTGCCTCAAAGATGGACTGCACGGCAGCGAGGGCTGAGAGCTGTGGTGACGAAGTGACCGTTGCCATGCCTTCCCACAGATGGCCCACAACCCCGACGGTTTGGTCACCAAAGTTTTCTGACCAGCACAGGCTCACAGCCAGCCCGCCAAGGATCAGCAGGACCAGGGAGAGGTCAAACGCGCCAACTGGGTGCTGTGCGGCAGCCACAGCTCCCTCGGCCAACCAACCAGCGCCGATGGCAGTGAGACCGTTGATCACGCTCATATCGGCAAAAAGCGCGGTCAACGTGCTGTCCGAGAGACGCCGGCGCCCGTGCTCTGCCACCACCCAGCTTTCTGGCACGGTGAAGAGCAGGCTGGTGGCCAGGCCTCCCAAGATGCGGCCAACCATCAATGTGGGAAAATCGCGGGCGTGCTTGGTCAAGCAAGAAAGGCCGTAGACTAGTGTGTATAAAATTGTGCCTAATGACCCATGCAGATGTTTCAAGGATCGCACCCACATGCCCACCCGGACAGATCAAAAGGACAAGCAAAATGTGCAGGTCAAAGGATTGATGAGTATCTGGACTGCTCAACTTGAGCTGAGCCTGGTCTTTGGCAGACCGATGCTATTGGTTACATGTATTGCACGCACCGCGTTTACGCCCAAAGCGATCGGCCAGAGTACCCGCCACCGTGCCGAAAACCATGCTGGAAGCAAAGCCGGCAATGAAGAGCTGGCCGTTTTGAGCCAAGGTAAAGCCATACGCCTGGTAGAGCCGGTACATGTAAGGACCTGAGGGGGGGCTCAGCACAACCGCGTTCATGAGGTGCTATCCTGCACACGCATTAAGAGGCAGCCAGCCAAAAAGGTTTGTACCTTGAACCCAGTCTGCTGCCACGAGCATGGAGTAGATCAGGAGGTACAGCTGCTGCCAGTGGCGTTGGTTGCTTCTGAACACACCGGGGCATTGAGGGGCACATCATGTGTCGAAGGAGCACGGCACCGCGCTGCCAAGCAGGCTGGTGGACATACGTTTGAGCAGAATGTTCACGAGCGGTGGTCGGTGACTCCTCCAAACGCGAAGATGGCGAGCTCTGCACCGCAGCGTGGTGGCGCCGTTCGTAAAGCAACAGGCCCATCAGCAGGAGGGCGGCAGCCACACTGCCCACGGCCAGCTCGTGGTCGGGGAAGGGCGCTGGCTCAGTCAACGCCTCCTCCATGATGTCGATATGCGACCAATAACCAAACCGAAGATGTCCCTGTTATGGTCCAGCTCAAAGGCAACGACGCTGTCTGTCCCCATCTGGTTGCATCTCTGCTCCACTTGTCTGTCTCCACTTGTGCCACTGCCGCACCAAAATTAAAAAATAAAAACGCTTGCTTGCACGGAAACCAGCATAAAAGAAGTAAAATACTTTTTGCACAATCTCTTTCTTTTTTTTTTTTTTTTCACGAAGAAGAAGAGAGATGCACATGCCTTTTGTGTTTGTGTGTGTGTGCGTGTGTGTGTGTGTGTGTGTGTGTGTGTGTGTGTGTGTGTGTGTGTGTGTGTGTGTGTGTGTGTGTGTGTGTGTGTGTGTTTGCAACTGTATGTGTGTGAGAGCACACACACATACACTGTGTCTCTCTTCGGTCTCTCTTCGCTGTCTTCTACAGTTGTTTCGCTTGTTAGTGGTTCAAGGCCCCCCCGCCTCCCCCCCGGTGCCGTGCCTTCATGCGAGAGCTTGTTCGCTCGGTGTGCACGTCTGCCTTGGTGGCCCTTGCTCCGTATTGTCCAACCCTTGAGAGGATCTGGTTATCAGAGGCCACGCCCCGGGCTTGATCGGGCTTGAGCCAGAGCTGCCAACTTTGATCTCCGCTCGCCCATCGAGCTGTGGGCGCGTGCCTGATCTTCATCTCACCATGGCCGCACCCACTTTGGACAATGCCACCTTGGTGGAGCTCTTCACCGATGCCCTGGCCACCGAATTGCGTAACAAGCAAGAAAAGTGAGTTGTCCTCCTGCTCATTCCCATCAGGCCTTGTACTTTTCGCACCAACGGCCCCTCCCTGCTTCTACGCCGATAATGCCTCCAGACTTTTTTTGGGCTGGGACGGGAAGGGTGCATGTTACTTGATCCTCCGTCTCGTGCGCTGTAAACTCACCACGCATGCTTTCCAATGGTTCCACGGCGATCCCTTGGACGCGTACCATGAAATATCATTAGTCAGCCGATTGGAATTTTGCAGGTCAAGATTGACGAGCAATACTTTCACGGTAGTATTTCAGCCAACGGCCTCGATCATTGGACCGCTGATGCGGCCCCAACTACCCCACGTAAGCTCCACTTCTGCTTGCCCTCTCATTGCTTTCGATGCTTTTGAAAAGGTTTTTGCGGGTATATCCAAACTGCACGTGCCCCCCGCAGCGCCTTGCCCTGGTGGTCTCAACTTTGGTGCTATGGAATACTCGGTACCCTCCACTCGACAGGTGCCACGATTGTAACAACAGCCAAGACCATTCTTCAGCTGGTGCAGGGCCGCCTCTCCTTTCCCGCGGCCCTGCTTCAAGGCCGCCTCTCCTACTCGGGCGATCGCAAGGTATAGGCCCATGCCTCCACGCTGCTTCAATGTACTAGGACACTGCAGTGCAAGGACAAGTGCCTCCTTCTTCTGGCACCAGTTCTCCTGGCCATGCTGGCCAATTTTGAACAGCCACCTTCTCAATCGTCTCTTGCGATGCTTACGTTGCTTTGATCATTGTGCTGATGCAGTTCATTCAAGCTTATTTCAAGCCTCTGAAAGCCGCTTTTGCTGCCGTTCGCAACAGCATACCAAAGCAGGAGCAGAACGCGCCCCAAGAGCCAGCTGATGGTGCCTTGGATACGACAATGACCGAGCAAGATGTAGCCGAATTTTTGGCGCGCACCTGGGTAAGTCGTTGGAAGACGGTGGCATACTGACACCATCCTTTGAATCCAGCGCCCTATTCAACCCCAGAATGGAACTCAATGAGTCTGATGCATCACAGATTCCAGACGCCGAACGCTCGACATGCGTCGGCTGTGCCAATCATTTCAATCTCTTTCGACGACGCCATCACTGGTATGACAAGCACTGTAACTACGGATTTTGCCTCGTTGGCCTGTCGGTTGCCCGCACCCTTAACCGCGGACCAGAATTTGGCTCACTCGCATCAACGTGTCTCCTTGGTGGCCAGTCGTGGCTGTGGTGAAGTGTTTTGTGATGCATGCTCCAGCTTCTTTTTTGGGCAGCATCGCATGTGCGAAAGCTGTCAAACTGCCGTGTTGGGCAAGATCCGTCAGCGTCAGCATGAGGGCGCTTCCCCCAATACATCCTCCATGCAACCAGTCAACAACCTTGATATCTTTGATCTCCCGGTGCGATCCCAAGTTTGCTCTGCCAGTGATTGTGTGTGTGTGTGTGTGTGTGTGTGTGTGTGTGTGTGTGTGTGTGTGTGTGTGTGTGTGTGTGTGTGTGTGTGTTTTATGTGTGATGCTTGACCGCTTGTTTCAGTTTTGACTTTTGTTGTTGGTGATTATCTCTCACAAGCCAGTGCACTTTTCGGCAGGTGGATGCCGACTTGAAGCAATTAGGCATCCTCGAACGCCGCCTGCGCCAGCGCCTGCGCCACCAAGAGGCCGAGCAACTCCACGCCGTAGCTCACCCCGACATTGAACCCAGCTCAAAGGCTGATGACGAAGGAGCCGAGACCTTGGACACGGCATCCAGCCGTGCCCCCCACGGCTTTAATGTGGGCTTGTGGCTGGGCATTGTGCTTGTATGTCCCACCTGCTCTTTTGCCGTTTCGTCCATTCGCGAAAGGACAAAGGTCACTACCCCGTGTTCTTTTGTCACCTTTGCAGAGCCGCTTACTTGCCGTGCTCCGCCTCTTAGGCTCAACTTCTTGCGCTGGGAGCCATCTTGTTCTTGATATTCCCTGATCATGCCTATGCTCTTATGGATGTATTGACGGTGTTGCTTCACTCGAGCCCCGAGTTTCGCGCCGATTTTGCAAAAGCCATGGCCCGTGCCGTGCTCGACCAATGGGTCTGGATGGCCGCCCTGCTCGCTGCGGTCAGCACCTTTTGGCTCATGCCCACTCTGGTCAAGCGCACATTTCGGGCCTATTCCGTGGCCACTATTGTTATGGCCAACATTGTTCTTCATCGCTTTTACTGGAGCTTCAAGCCAGTTGATCCAGATGCGGATGACGAACGCTGGGAGCGTGTACACGAGTTCAATGCCCGCCTCGTTGAGCGCAACGTGCGCATTCTTCGTGGATTTTGGGTCAAGGTATGTTCACTGAAGAAGAGTCGTTTTCATAATAACAATAATGATAATGATAATAACAAGACCATTAATAACATTGGTTTGAAAACCAGCGTCAACTTGTCAGCCAAGAACTCATTCCTCGAGTTGTTTTTACACGACCTATACTCTTGTCCCTCTATCCCATTATCGATTGGCGATCACCCTCACCCTGGTGCCGCCGGCCCGCCATTGCCACTATTGTAGGTTGGTCAATACATGTCATCGCGTGGGGACGTCATGCCGGCCGCATGGGTCCGAGAACTTTCCAAGCTTCAAGATGCCATGCCCAAGCGCTCGGGCCACGAAGTGCGGGCAGACATCGAAGCAGAACTCGGATGCCCGCTAGACACTGTCTTTACCGACTTTGAGGACGTGGCATTGGCCTCTGCCTCGATTGCACAAGTTCATCGTGCCACCCTCAAGACAGGGCAGCAGGTATGCTCACCGTTTCCATGCCAACAAACGGTATCTGCCATTCGTGGAACATTCACGTGTAATGAAAAAAAAAAAAAATCGTGCTGGCTCAAAGGTTGTTTGCAAGGTGCAACACCGCAACATCCAAACCATCATGAAGCACGATCTTCAAAACCTCTTTGTAATTGTTGACTGGTGCGTACAAGCTTGCCAACGCTCCAGCCTTTGAAGCACGCGAGCAGCTTCGCTCAGCCATGGGTGAAATGATTATTCTTTACTGCACTTTCACTCATGGAAAACACGCACGCACACACACACACACACACACACACACACACACACACACACACACACACACACACACACACACACACACACATAGGGTGGCCTATTTTGATCCCTCCTACGACTTTCGACCTGTCTTGGACGAGTGGAGCAAGGTGGCAGTCAAGGAGCTGGACTTTCGAAACGAAATGCTCAGTTCAGAGCGTGTGCGGGCGAACATGGCTGATGCCAAGCTTGATGTCATTGTTCCCGCCATGTTCAAGAAGTATTGCACGGAGCGACTCCTAACTATGGAGTTTGCAAAAGGTTTCAAGGTCACCGACTCGGAATTGCTGGATGCCCATGGCATTGATCGGGAAGCCCTGATGCGCCGCATTTGTCAAGCCTTTGCGCACCAAGTATACGTGCAAGGCTTTTTTAATTGGTGTGTAATGCCCGCTTCCCACTCCAGATCGCGACCCGCACCCATTTTTTTTTTTTCAATGTGTCTTGACTCATTGTCTTGTGAACTGCTTTCCACCCGCTTTTGCACTCCCTGGCCTGCCGGGCTTGCTTCCGAACCCAGCGATCCCCATCCGGGTAACCTTTTGATTCAAGTGGGCGAGGATGGGACGGCCCGCCCAGTCCTCTTGGACTATGGCATGTGTCGCGAGCTCAATGACGAGAAACGCATTGCCTTTGCGCGCATGGTGTACAGCGCTGTCACAATGGATTTTGGCAGTCTTTTGGGTTCGTTTGATGATATGGGGCTCAAGCTGAAGCGCCACGACCCAGCTGAAGACATGAAAAACATTCGATTCGTGCTGCGTGATACGGCACCGGGCGATGAGATGCGCAAGCAGTTCAAAAAGTTTCGTGAAGACGTGTGGCAAAAGCGCCAACAGCTTCCAAAGAGCGAGCGCAATCCAGTCGAGGCATATCCCGCCGAACTGCTGTTCTTCTTCCGCGTTACTCTTTTGCTCCGTGGTCTGTGTGCCGTGCTGGGTGTTCGTGTGCGCTACTCTACCTTGCTTGCACCATACGCCCAACTGGCCTTACTTCGCCACCATGATCGAGCCACCCATGCCGAGAACCTGGTGATGCCCAAAGCGCTTCCCGCAGGCGCGGCCAAGTTTCCCCACGTCCAAGACGCCGTGACCAATACGCTGCGCGAACTTTCACGACTGGGACTCTTTACCGGCATCCAAGTGGCCGTCTATTATCAGGGCGAACTGATTGTTGATACCTGTGCCGGTACCATGGGCGAGGCCGATCCGCGACCTGTCCGTTGCGACACGCTCATGAATTGCTTTTCTGTTACCAAAGGCATTGTCGCTGCTGCGCTGCATCTGCTCAAGCAGCGCGGCGACGTAGCCATATATGATCGCGTGGGTGCCCACTGGAAGGCCTTTGACTGTAATGGCAAAGAGCCCATCACCGTCGGCCAAGTCCTCTCCCACACTGCTGGCTTGCATCGCGTTCCAGACTCGCGGGCTAAACTTGGTGATCTCGTGAATTGGCAACGAATGTTGGAGATTATTCAAGAGGCATCGCCTGACACGACGCCTGGGCGAGTAACGCGCTACCACATTCTCTCTTTTGGGTGGCTTGTGGGTGGTCTAGTGGAGGCCATCACGCACCAACCTTTCGCTGCATGGGTTCAAGATAACATTGCCAAACCGCTTGGCTTAGAGGTGCGTCGCTCGCACAACAACCGTGATTGTCAAAGGTTCTTGCATCGTGCTGTTCGAGCAAGGCCTCGGGACTCTCGAGCTTCATTTTCTTTATTTTCTTCTTTCGATGGTGATTTCCGGTTTGGCTAGGAGGAAATGTCTATTGGGTTGGGAGATGGTCGGCTGGAAAAGCTTCAGTCGCGCATCGCCACGCTATGCAACGGGTGTGTTCACAGTTTGGTTTCGTCAATTTTGTTGGTAGTGTGACTGCCTGACACGCAGCATCAAACAACGCGGTGCTTACTTTTTTTAACTCAACCTTGCCCGTCAGGTTTTTTGTTTCACCAGACGGCGAGACACCTTCTGAGGATGAGCTTCGTCGCATGATGCAGCAATTACGAGAGATTGACCAAACACAGAAACAGATCGAGCTCGAGGAAGAGCAGCGCCGTGAGGCTCAGGGTGCCGAAGCACCCAATGAACCCCACGAAGTTTTACCAGCCTCAAACCAGACGAAGAGCGGCCCGACTCCACCGGTTGACGATCCTTTTGAAGTATGGCCCCCTGCCTGCGAAATCAAGTCAACTCAATATGACGCTTTGATTGAGAAGCTCCAACGCGAAGTCGAACATGAATGTTTTGCTGGTGCCGAGGACGGCTGGACTTTGCACAGCCGCCCACGAAACATCGAGATTTACAAGAAATCGGTACGAACTTTGCCACCACAACGAGTCACCTCTCTCATACAGTGGTGTTTTGATACCTCGTTCAAACAGCGGCTATGAAAACCCCATCTGATTGCACCGCTGCCTCTTCCTCCTCACCCTACTTTCCTTACGATAGATGCCGGGCAGCAACGCCATTATGGTGCGCGGCAATGCTGACATTGATGCTCCACCAGCAGCCGTCTTTGAGGTGATGCGTGAACCAACAAAAAAGGGGCAGTGGAATTCTCAATTTGCTCAACTCGACGTGGTGGAGGAGTTTGATGAAGTCACGACCGTCAGTCACATGATTGCGCGCTGCCCATGCCGACCACATTACAAAGCTCTCCTAACAATCCCTTTATCCCATGCCCTCCCGTTGCTGCCACCCCGCAGATCATTCGTGACGAGTACAAACCCATTTGGCCCGTCAGTGGCCGCGATTTCTGCATGCTGCAAGCTGTACGGTTTTCAGCTGACGGCAGCTACATTGTGAGCAACAAGTCCATCGAGCACCCCGACTGCCCTGCCAAGCCTGGGTAAGTACTTTGCTTTTGGTGGCCATGCATGCTACTTTGGCGCAATCCCTGCCGCTGTGCCAACCTGGAGAAGTCGCTGACTGCACAAACTCGCTCTTGACGGCGATGGGCAGGTTGGTACGAGCCGAAACCTTGATTGGTGGCGCCGTGTGTCGCGTGGACCCAAGCAACCCCATGCGTTGCAACTTGACCTACTTGATTTGCATTGATCCCAAGGTTGGCGCAGCCCATCAGCCGACCACGGCATCTGTTCCTTGTTGGTCTAGGACCCGGGTTGCGCGCGGCTTTGCTTGGGGCGCGAACTCACTTGAACGCTCTCTGATTCTAGGGCAATGTCCCCAGTATGGTAACTAATGCGGTCGCGACAGATCAGCCGCTGGCCGTGGCCAATATTCGAGACTTGCTTGCAAACGTTCAAGACTTTTCACGTTACGAGACGATGCTGCAAAAGCAGCGACTGGTCGAGGCTGCTCCTACAGATGAAGAGACTGCCCCTCCCACTCTAGCTCCAGCCAATGGCGACGCCAGTGATTTTGAACCTGAAGGTGGCCTATCCATGCCAGAGGCTCGTTCAGATGCCCAGGCCCTGGAGGCTGCCAACACCATGGAAGCAGAAGCAGATAGCACGTCCGATTTTGATTTGTCGCGTCTGCTCACGGCGGATCCGTGCATCTACAATGCACCAATGGTACGCTGCTGTCAACACGCACACATGACAGCTGGCTGTGCCTGCTGCTCTATCGTGCTCATCAAACAATCTCATTCATGGTCATCGCTTGCTCATGCTTGTACGACTAGGTTCGCCGAGCCTGCATTCCTTCTGCAAATGGGCACTTTAGTGCTCGCGCAGTAGCCAAGTTTTATGCTTCTTTGGTCGGCGAAGTGGATGGCGTGCGCCTTTTGGATGAAGCGACCATGACGGAGGCCTGTCGGGTACGTTTGTTTTGGGGTCAAGGCCGTGTTTTACGTTTTGCCTATCCCGTGCCACTCACCGCTGTCTGAATGTCATTTGCATCTGCACACCTGGTTTCTTGCTTTTATGCATGCGACTCAATCTACAGCTGCAAGCCAGCGAGCAAATGGGCATGCGCGATGAACCTATGCGCTGGGGACTGGGATTTCAAAAATATACGTGCGTGTCTCCATTGCTGTTTTGACTGGTTGGGACTAGCGAGAAGCAACATCATTGGCCCATGCTCCGCACTCGACGGACACTTGTTCTCATCCCTCCCCCCTACGTGCCTTCTTCTCTTTCTGGGGTTTTATCCAGGCGACAGCTGCCCAACGGCAAGCAGGTAGATGGGCCATTTGGTCATTTAGGCTTGGGGGGAAGCGTGGGCTTTGCAGACCCCACCTGTGAGCTCTCCATGGCGGTGTCTGTTAATCGCCTGGCGTTGGACCGTGAGTGCTCAGAGCGGCTGGTGCAGACCGTATACTCGGCGCTCGGCCTTGGTGAACTGGCCTTTGCTTAAGACTATACGAGCTGGGTGCTATTGGCTTGCTTCGACTTGCCACACCCTTGTCACAATTCCACGGCTCAATAGTTTTCATTCATCGTGAGCCAAGGTTCTTGCTAGAAGAATCAACGCACCAAACGCCAAAGAAATTCGGCGCTTGCTGCAGCGTGGAAAAGTCTTCGCTCACATGTAAATCACGTGCTGTCATCAATTAACATGATGTAAAAAGTATGTGAACCAGATAACTTTACACCAAAGCACACATAAGCCGAGATACACGGAAATTGTGCCGCAAAGCCTCAACAGCCACTTGAATGAAGCCAGAAGAGCGAAAAAAGAACAAGGGGAACGAGCGATAAACAGTGGGCGAGTGCTGCACTACCACGGCAATTCTCGCCTTACTTGATGCGAACACTGCCAGCCCAATCGACTTTAGTCGAGCCTTTGCCATATTTGTTGGCGCGAATCTTGGCCAGAGCGCGTTTAGCAACTTCAAGTTCTCGCTCTTGCTTGACAATCGCCTCAACCGCCTCAATCTCTTGCTTCATGGCATGTACACGACTGGCGTCCAGTTGAATTGAGTCTTCCACGTCAGTGGGGGCAGCCTGGACGGTGCGTACCAGGTTTTCCGCTGCTTTCTTGACGGCACTGCCAGCAGCTTGCAAGCGCCGCATTGGCCCGCTGTTGCTGGGCATCTTTACCTTGCAAGCCATAATCAGCTGGGCCGTACTCTTGGCGATCGATTTGGCTGCCGCGACCAAGCGTTCCTGAGACAAATCACCACGCATCGACGCGTTGGCACCGTCACATAGCTCTTGGGTAGCGTGTGCGACCAGCTTGGCAGCAGCTACCAAATCAGCAGCCGTACTATTCTCATCCCCACCCCCGTTACCAAGCTCTTGCTGTGCAGCCGTGGCTGCCTTGACGAGCGTTGCTGTTGCTGCTGTAATGGCCTGTGTACCGTGTAGCACCTGCTCCTCCACGGGAGCCGACTCATCGATAGCCGCGGCAGCGACAGGAATGGATTCTTCTAGACGCGCCAGCTTGATTGTGACGGCATCAATGGTTGACGCTGCAGAAAGCAACTCACGCTCGGCTGCGACCGAAGGCTCTTGTGCCCCAGCCGTGCTGTCATCCGACCCCTTGAGAGAGAAAGCCGCGGTGTTGAGGTTAGTCAGGGCATCGGCAATTTCCTTGGTGGCGTTGCGCACTCGCTCCTTCTCGGTGGCATCGCCGGGTCGCCCTTCAAGCTCGAGGGCCACCTCAAAAATTTCATTGAGCGAGGAGGCACAGCGTTGAGCCTCGCGCATGACACTGTTGGCTGTGGCGGGGGCCACGCCAACCGCTGTCGAGCGCCGTGTCTGTTTAAGGAGGTTGCACATGGCGTTGCGAGCCACATTGGCGGCCATTGTGAGATCTGACGCATTACCAGAGTTGGTCGCTGAAGCCAGCTTGGTGACAGCAGCCGTCAAGGGACGGCCCGCCTGCAACAAGTCATCCACAGCCCCGTCAACTTCTTCGGCCTTGATTGTGTCTGACTTGATGCTGCCAAGCACACAGATCAAGAGGTGGCCCATGCCAGACCCGGGCAAAGATCATATTACAACCAAAAGCACAAGGGAAGATGGGCCAGCAGAAAACCTATCATAAGCCTTTGATCGATCAAAAAACAAAAACAAAAACAACCCCCCCCAAAAAAAAAACAAAAAAAACAAACAACGGTGCAGTCTCCTTGTTGACGCTTTAAACCAAACCACCATGCTCCAAAATAGCACATCACATACCTGGCCTCCGTCTCAATGGCCCCCTGCGCTGCCTTCAGTGCTGTCGTCACGCGCCCTTGCTCGTTCTCAACTGTTTGGACCGTGCGCAACAGTGCTGTGACGCTGTTGGCCATGTGCTTTGTCTGATGGCCCAAGGCTTGCATGGCTGGATCCTGTTTTGTCAAGCAAAGAAAAAAAAAAAAATGAGCAAACTTGCCGAGTATGTGTGTCATAAAAGCGAACAGGCATTAAAAAAAGGGGGGCAGTGTACTTACATCGGCACTTCGGCCCGAGGCCTTGCGAGTTGAGTTGAGAAGGTCTGCCAATGAGTTGCCCACATCGCGAGCAGCATTGATGAGCAAAACCTGGGCCTCGGGGCCTGCCGAAGCTAGTGAATCAAGGGACAGTTTAAGCTTGTCCACCAGATCGTTGTACATGCTCTGGCAGTTCTCGGCGGCATCAGCCAAGTCGCCCTGAGATGAGGCTGCACTGCTAATGAGCCGCTTGGCTCGGTCGACGAGGCCTCGTGCTGCCTCTAACATGGGAGGCTGGTGCTCACGGAATGATTCGGTGCCCTCGGCTGCTACCGAGCCCGCCGTCGCAAAGAGTGCCATGGTTTCAAGGTCTGCCAGCTGCGTCTCAACGGCAGCTGCTGCTGTCAAACAAGCCTGCGTGCCTTGCGAGCCAGCTTGCAAGGCGGCGACCACGCTGTTCACCTGCTTAGCACACTCCCGCGATGCCAATGCCAACTCTTGCTTGACATCACCACTTTCTGGTGACTTTCGAACGTCGTTGGCAGCCTGAATCACACGCGCGCAGGCACCACCAAGCTCAGTGACGCTCTTTTGCAAGTGAGACTGCACGGCCTCGCTACTGATATTGACCAGAGCCCCCGACGTATGCTCCGTCATCGTCACAAAGCAGTCCTTGATATCCTGAACCAGGGTCACCAAGGCTGCTGGGTCGCTGCCCACCCGTCCCACAAGCTGTTGGACGTGCTTGGCTAACTTGCGCGTGTCTGTCGTGATAGCATCCTGGTATTCCACGAAGGACTGGCCCACGTAGTCACCACTAGCCGCCGCTGCCGTTGCACTCGTACCCGCACTGCCGGCCGCCAAGCTCTCAATGGCTTGCTGAATCGTGGACATGGTACCTTGTACAACAGCATCCTCAGCGTTGCGCTGGGACAGATTGAAAACGAATTCCTTGACGCACTTACGAAGGTTCTGGGCTGCAAGGCTAACCACCTTGTGTTGGCTCGAGGCTGCCGGGTTGCCTCCGGAATCGCGGGCAGCATTGAGCAGCTCTGCACCCGCTTCGACAATCGTCTTCGCCTGCTGCAGGAGCGTGGTTTGAACGCTGCGCTCCCCCAAGTGCGATGCCACACCCATGGCTGCACTCACGAGTGGGTTGAAGGCATTTTGCAGGCGCAGCGCTGCTTGCGCAAGGTGCTGAGCTGAGCCTATGGCTGCCTCGGCCACGGCACGCGCAGCCTGTCCAATGTCGTCAGTCACGGTAATGGCATCCTGTTGATAGCCTTCGAGGGAATTTTCGGCGATTGGCGCAAGGCCCTGCTGCTGAGCTGCATACTCGGCCTCGTTCAAGTCGTGCGTGACCTCGTTCAAAAAGTATGTGGCGTTGTCACACTCCAGCTGCCCAGGCGAATGGGCCTTGATCACAGCAGCCTGGCGCTTGATGGCCTCGGACACCGCCTTGCTGTTGGCCGCAAGCTGCTGCCACTGCTCCGTATTCTTGGCATTGGCGGCCAGATTGCGAGCTGTTCGTACCACGGCTATGGCTGCTTCAGCAATGGCTCGACCACTCTCCAGGTACGGCTGCTGACGGCGCTTAGCCCCTTCACTGATTTGCGGCGCCGCAGACGCGTACTCGGGCATCTCCGACAGAGTTACAAGGTGTCGCGCACAGTCTTGTAGCGAGGCAAACGCCTCCTGAGCTGCCATTTTGTGAGCATCGGATGGATCGGCGGCATATCGCTTGATGTGCTGAACAAGGGCAGAGGTGGTCTGGGCCACGGTTCGTGCAGCATCTACCAGCTGCGTACGCAGCGTCTTATTGCTCGCTCGAGTTGCTCCGAGCTTGCATAAATTGCTGAGCGTGGTCGTGCTTGCGGCGACAGTCCGCGCGATACTTGCAATCGGCTTTGTGGACGAGGAACTCATGAGCAGGACTGCGGCCTCATCGATGGCCTGCGCTGCTTGAGCAACGGCCAAGGGGTCAAGAAGGCCCTGCTCCCCGGTGGTCGAAGTAGGATCAGAGACGGCCATCAAGTAAGCTGCCTGCGTGCTGGCTCGGACCAGTTGGCTCGTGGAACCAGTCATAGCATCCAAGGCATCACCAAACTTAGCCATGTCCTGCTCCCGAGCGCCAGCAGCCAGCGCCGCAAGTGAGGAACCCAGCTCCTTGGAGGCATCCATAATCTCGTCAAAGCACTGGAAGTAGTTGAGTGAGCTCACTGGAGCCAGGGCCTCCTCCGTGCCTGTGAGAACGGCCTGCAGCGAGCGCTCAGCCGTGTCACACTCCTGTTGACCCGGAGCTGCACTGGAGCAAGTCTCCAGCAAACCGTTCAGGCAGGTCGTCAGATTACGCATAGCCGAACCCAATTGCGCCTGTTGGCCATCCTTGTTAGCCATGGCGGCGCCCACTACACGAGAGCAAAGGCGATGGGCCACTCGTGAGAAAAAAAGACGGCCAGAAACAAACGAAGAGGCGCCACTTGAACAAGCTCAAAGCATTGCACGTTTCAAAGAACGAGAAAAGATGAAGTGGGCAACACAGCGAAGGTAATTTTATTCTAGTTGTTTTATTTATTTATTTTGCACCATGTCATGAGCCGCAAACGTGGCGCGAAACGAGGCATACCTTGAGATAGAAGGCCAGAGGTCGTGTTGCTCATGGCCATTAGCTTCTTCATCAGCTCAGAGCGATCTTCAGGGCGAGCACAACTCTCCATCATGGACATGCCCACCTGCACCACACGCTCGTGTGCTGTAGCCAGCTCCTGGCTGGCCGGAGCCAGAGCCATCTTGCTGCCCTCGCGTGGTGCCCGAGCCATCTTGGCCGCAGCTTGGTTGAACACCTCGGCTGCCACTGTAAGCTCGTGTTGCATTGCGGTGTACTTTTTAACGTCAGGCTTGGCGGATGCAGGCGCCTTAGACTCAAGTTTAACCTTGGCCCCTTGCACGGAGCTCATGGCACGCCGAATATCGAGCTGGCCGGGCAAGTAGGCCGTGACATCGCCTAGGCGAGCGCTGAAAGCTTTGTCCTGTGTCTCTAGCGTAGTACGTGCTGGTTGATCTCCGCCAACTGCGGTACGCACGACAGCCAGACCCGAGGCAAGCTCCGTGACAGCGCGCTCCGCAGCACTGAGCACCGCTTGCTGATCAGCGGGCGATTCCAAGGTTGAGGCATAGCGCGTGACGTGCTCTGCAAAGCCGCGGGCCGCGGTGGCCACGGAGCGCGAGCATGCGCTGGCGTAGCTCTCGTCCTGCTGGTCAATGCCGGTGAAAAGCTGACTCATGGAGGCCTGGAGCTGCTTGGCAGCGTCGTTGACGAGCGCCCCATGCTTGTTGTTGTTGTTCGAACCCGACACGCGCAGGCGCCCTGTCTTGGAACGATCCACAACACTGGTCAAGTACTCGCTCAGCTGGCTGACAGCAAAGGCAGCTGACTCGATTTCCAAGTCTTGGCAAGCGTCGTTGGCCTCCGTGACGCCGCTCTTCAACTCGGCCAAGCAAGCACCCAGTGCACGAGAACACGCGGTGAGCTGTGCAGCTGCTGCCGGCTCCTCAATGGCGGGAGCGGCACTTTTGGCTGCGGCCATGAAGCGCTGGGCGGGCGCAATGAGCTCGCGCGCACGAGTCAGCAAGCTGAGCTGCGCATTCGTGTTGCCTGGGTTCTCGCGCACATCGCGGAGAGCGGCAACGGTTTTGCTAAGAGGAGTACGCACGCTTTTGAGCTGTTCTTCTAGTTGCTGACGCGTGGCCGGGCTGCTAATCATTTCCATGGTGGCTTCCGATGCAGAGAGGAGCTGGGAGGCTGCTGCGGTAGCCTGTTTCGCAGCGCCCTGCAGGTCCCGCATCGACTTTTGCACCAAACTGTTGCCAGCCACTTCAGTGGTGACGCTCTTAATGTTCAGCGCGCAGTCCACCAGAGCCTGCCGAGCTTCCTTACTGCGCACGTTCTGGGCCGCCAGCTTGGCGGCGGCTACCATCTGACTCGTGCCTTGTGCCAGGCGCTCCACGTTCTTGAGATGTACCTCGCGAGCGGCGGGCGCGGTTTCGTGTGCTGCCCGGGTCTTGAGCTCACCCACGACCACGGCAGCGGCTTGAGCCAGGGTTTTGGTGGTGGCTACCAGCTCAGGCCCATTGGCGCCTACGGTCTCAAGGCGTTCTGCCGCATCGGATATAGCTGAACAAGCAAGTTCAAATTGGGTCGAGGCGCCGCTGCCCAGGATCTCCGGCACGCTGTTGATGAGCTCGGCCAGGCTGGCCGTCACAGCAGAAGCGGATGTACCCAGGCGCTGAAGCTCGGGTTTGTTGGAGCACGACGATTGGGAAATATCGAGCAACCGCTCGACCTCTGCGGCAATGCCGCGTGCCAAGTCGCAGAGTTGTTCCTGGCAGACGTTGTCGGAGAGCACGGGCCCCAAAATTTTGCCATTGGCTGCAAGCTGGGTGATGCTCGTGGCTACGGTTTTCGCGGCCTTGATGACGTGCTGCTGCATGGTTGGGTCATCACACTGTCCAGCAACAACCTTAGCTTGCTCGACTAGTGCTGCCGTACCGGTGGCCACGTTGCGCACAAGGCCATTGAGGCGTTCGGATTGCTCCCGCGTGACCTCGAGGGACCCCAAAACGGAGAGCAGGCGCTCTGCTGCGGTGGCAGCAATCTTGATGGAGGCTTCGAGGGGTGCGGCAGGAACGTTTCCGCTTTCGTTCGCCGCATAGGGTTCCACGACAGCTGCAATTGCTCCAACAAACTCTTGACTCGCAGACACGATGGCCGAGGCCTGGTTATCATCCAGACCAGCGGTGCGTGCGGCGTTGGTAGCGGCGTTGACGATATTTGAGGAGATGGCGGTAAAGGCAGACCCCAGCCCCGTCAGGTGGGAGCGCCCGCGATCAGTCTTGCTGGAGATGTTCAACAATGAGCTACAGTTGACCATGATGGCAGCCACAGAGGAGATGACCTGTTGTTTCGCAACAGCAGCTTGATCCACGCGGGACTGAGAGGAAGCGTCGTCTTCGGCTTGAGGCGGCTGCGGCGCAGTCACACTGGCAGCGGCTTTTTGCAAGCTTTCCTGAGCCTTGCTAACGTGAGTTGCCAAGGAGAGTTGGCCCTGTGCGCTAGTGCGAAGGCGCGGGCGTGCACCCAAGGCGGCGGTGTTGCGTCGGGCGTTCATCTGCTGGGCGCGCATGGGACCCACGGCCTCAGCGGTGGCCATCTTGCTCTCTGCAGCTTCAGCCATGGCGACCTGGCTTTCGGCAAACTGCTCGACCTCGCGCTGGTCGGCTTGGCGTTTTTTCTTCAGAATGATATCGATATAGCCGGCGATGAGCTGGGAAATGCTGTCCCCCTCGTCCGTTTGGACGCTGTAGTATTCTGCATAGTCACCAAAGTCGAGGGTAAAGCTGTTGGGCGAGGCAACCCACCGACGCACGGTGGTGAGGGGCCAGGTGCGGAGGACCTCCTTGGTCTTCTCATCCATGCGCATGACGCTCTCGCGAGTAATGCCAAGCAGTGTGCTGACGAGCTTGTTTTTGCCCTTGAGCTTTTCCTTGACTTTGAAGAAGCTGATGCCGTAGGTGTTGAGAGAGCGACACATGGTGATATACTTGTACTTGACGGCCAACTCCTGCACACCCTGTTGTTTCTTGTGCTCTGCGTAGATTTTCTTTTCGATGCCCTTGACCTTGACGTATTCCAGAGGCAAGACGCTGCGCAGATCATCGATAAAGCCCACCTTGTGGCGGTCTGGGTTGTGGTTGCCAAATTCGATCTGCATTTGCATGCCCGCGAACGTGACTGCTTCGTCCTGTGTGCATGGGTATTGGCCCTTGAGGATGGCGTCCTTGGACTGCGACGTGTGACCAGGCAAAGGATTCAGAGCAAGGTAATCGAAATGAGCTAGCGATTGAAGGGATTTGAGATTTTGAGGCCACCAAAGCAATCTGAGCGAGATGAACTTGGTTTCTGACCTGGCCATAAACAAGGTTGACCTGCACCGGGTCATTTCGGTCAATTTCTTGGTCAGTATAGAAGAACTTTTTGCGCAGCACCAGGACCTCGTCTGGGCGCACGTTCTGCTCCAAAAGGGTGAGGTCGTGTTGCAGCCACTTCTCCTCCTCCTAGAAATAGCCACGGGGGCAACGCAAGGACCAGTTGGCTATGAAATGTGCATGCTTGATGCTCAGAGTTGTCGTTGGGTGTTGCTGCCTGGTGTTGCTGTTGGAATGGTGGTCAGGAAAACCCAGGAAAGAGAGTGTGTTGGGGAGGGAGATGGAGAGGTAGAAAGAGAAACAGAGAGAGCAAGAGAAGTCGAGGAAGAAGAGGAGGAAGAAAAAGAAGAAGAAGAAGAAGAAGAAAAGGAAGCAGAAGAGGAGGAGGAAGAAAAGAAGAAGACGAAGAAGAAGAGAAAGAAGAAATGAAGCCATAAATGGTGTCATCGTACGTTGAGTCGGGCGCGAACGTCGGATAGGGTCTCCTTCTTCTTGCGTTTGACACTGGCGAGCTTGGCCGAGGCAACTGTATCAGTCTCTTCGGGCACGAGAGAATACTCCTCAAAGTTTTGTACGCCGATGCGATGGCATACGTGGCGGACAATGGCCCCCAGGGTCTGGCTCTCATCAATCTGCAAAGGCAGATTTGGAGATGGCGGGTGATCAGGGCTGGACATGATTATTGGGAATTCATGTTCGTGCCAGCACACATGTTGGGCGGTGGCTACAAACCATGAGGGTACGGATGCTTTTTTCGGAACCATCGATCAGCTTGATTTTGAGCATGCGTTGGCGCTTGCGCATACAGAGGGTTTCCTGACGACGAAAGCGAAGGACAAACAGGGACATCACGCTTCGTCATTGCGCGGTGCTCGTTGGCGCCTAGGAAATTCAAGGCCATCAACATACCTGTTCTTGAATTCCCAGAGTGCCCAAGGAAGCGCCGGCGTCCAGCCAAAGGTTGAAGCCGCCATGCTCCGATTTGCGTAGCAGGCCATAATCACCAGCTACGTCGGGTTGGTGGGTGTCAGTGCTCAAAAGCGCGCAAGAAGCGCACGCAGAGAGACGAGTAAGTTGGTAGGCAGGTTGCCTGCCATGACACACCGCTTTCAATGTCTTGGCCAAGTTCTTGAATAACCTGCAGGCATACTTCAGTGATGGTCGTCGTCTTGTTCACCTATGTAGCCAAACCCCCGCAGGCGCAAGCAGGCGCCAAAATGAAGAAGGGGTGAGGCCGAAGGCGGCGAGAAGCAGTAGACGTTTAAACTGAGCATACCTTGAGAGGCACATCTCGCTGGTCCAGAACATGCACCACAATGGCAATCTCAGACATGCTGGAGGTGCTAGAGGTGAGTCGGGCGTCTGGTGAGTGCTGCAGGACAACCGCTGGGGTAGGTTGATGGGGCTGATCGAGCTTGTGCGCACCAAACAAACCTGATGTGAAAGGCTTGCTCCGGTCTTCTTTAAAAACAACAAGGGCCAGGAAGTTGTGACGGCCACCAGACCGCCGCCAACAAGAGCCTGCCGCAGCCCACTGTCTGTCTGTATGTATACGTGTGGGTGTGATGAGTGAGTGAGGTGGGGGTTGTTGTTGTGGTGGTCTGAATGTCAGTGTACGCGTTGGCGCAGAAAATTAAAATCCCTCAGAGAAGAGACGAGAGTGTGTGGGCGGATTTTGTGTGTGTGTGTGTGTGTGTGTGTGTGTGTGTGTGTGTGTGTGTGTGTGTGTGTGTGTGTGTGTGTGTGAGCTGGCTTTTTTGTTCTTCAAATCACGCTATGCTGGACTGTTTTGTTTTCGATGCGACAACTTCTCTTAATTCTTCTTCTTGATTCTAAATACACAACATTACCTGATCTGCACATAGTCTGCATGTTTTTACGCAAGACAAGAAAGGGCCCTTGGGCGTTCCCGCAAATACATCACCTCCCCGAGAAAGGCCATCATCCATCTTCCGAAAAGAAGCAGCGAGCTCACGTTCACAGGGTCAATTATGAAGTTTGTATTATTGGGGTTCAGACATCTCCTAGGCCGTCACATCATGCGGGATGCACGCTCGGATGTTGTCTCCAAGCCCGCCATAAGGATGAGCTGCATCCAGTAGCGTGACAAGAGGAGTGTCTCGTCAAAGTGCACGAATCGCTGTTCGGCCTGCGCTGTCCAAGCAGCAAGCAAGTCTTCTTCTGGCAGGGCTGTCAAGTTGTCGATGCGAATGACAGGCAGTTGATCAAAAAGCGCGTCGTAGGCCGCGCGGCGTTCAACTACGGGCACGGCCCCCATCAGGAGAGCCTCCCAAGTACGATGGCAATCGTAGCCCACACCCGGTGGGCTCAGCACAAATTGCGTTTGAGCATAGTACGTCCAGAGAGCCAAACGTTCAATGCGGCCGGGCTCGAGTACAGCCGAACCGAGGCGCTCGCGTAACGCTGCAGCGATCTGGGCTCGGGTGCCTTTGAGCCCCATGTTCAAGATGACCTCTTGGCGTCGGAAAGCGAAGCGCAACTGCTCGGTACGCTTGCGGGCCAGCTCTTCAGCTTGTTGCTGAACTGTGCGCTGTCCGCGAAAAGACTGTGTGTGCAGGTCAACCCCAATGGGCAAGGCCGTCAGCCGCTCGTGGACCAGCCCGGCATTTTGTGCAAACCATTGCACAAGCAATGGGTGGTCCAAGATCGCGCTGACCGATGCACCCAAAACTTTGGAATGATAGTGAAACCCCGGCATAAGGGTCATTTGTGGGACAGTGAGGTCCGACAGCCCCGAGATCAGCACGAAACGCTGCTGAGCGGCCTCGAGCAGGGGCAGCATCTCAGTCAGAAACGCTGGCAACTGCTCCGATACCACGTAAATGCGCAGGGGCCGCTCAGCTGCCCTGGCTTGAAAGGCACTCAAGCCTTGGCGATACCACTCAAGATCAAAAGGATAGTCCACCTCTGTATCGCCGACGTGGGGTGCCGGTGAAATGTCTGCGGTTGCCACGAAGCACTTGTTCCACACGGGCACGGCCCAGCAAGGGTGGGCTGGTAGCCGCTCCCTCTCTTGCACTGGGCTGCGAAAAATTGCAACGTCATCAAAATACCGAGACCGCTGCCGATACTGCCAAACTGAAACCACCAACAGTATCGCCAACCCCACGGCCAAGGCCCCGTACACGACGCGCCCCCGCCTCATGGTCGGGCCGTTTCTTGTTTCTTGTTATTGGAGTACCACACCCCCTCCTGCCCCGCCGCAAAATGTCAGACGACACGATTGTCAGATGAAACATTTTGTCAGACAACTCTCACAACAGTCACAACAGCAGAATGCAAGAACAAGAACAAGCAAGAGCAATATGGCTCCACAATCATTTGACTGGTCCGTGTGGAATGTAAGCGTGGACAGCCTCATCCACCACTGGCGGCTGGAATGTGCCCCCGCCACGCCTGGCCCCTGTGGCAGTCGGAAAGAACTCCCTCGCCTGGCTCTTTGGCAGGGGAGCCGTTTCACATCTTGTCTCGTGCTTGCAATCCGTCTTTTTCTGTTCATCCACTCACCTGCGCGTGTTGCTCTTTGGGCGAACAGCTTTGGAATCCTTGCCCACTTTGACCCTACATCATGGGTGTTCAGGTCAGTAGCGGCGTCGCAGAGCACTGCCACTAATAGAGCAAGGAGGAGAGAGGGGCGCGCAATTGAAGAAAACGCTCAGCCTTCTGTGTTCTTTTCGCTGCGTCAGGAGGTACCAACCCAGGCCTTTGACGACCAAAAGCCCGGTACATCGGGCCTGCGCAAGAAGGTCACTGTCTTCCAGCAACCCAACTACACCAACAATTTTATCCAGGCCACCATCGATGCCGTGACCGAGCTTGAAGGCAGCCTGGCTGGTGCCACCCTGGCTGTTGGCGGCGATGGCCGTTTCTACCTTCCTGAAGCGATCCAGATCATTATCAAGATGGCAGCGGCAAACAAGGTGCGTCACGCCTTGGGCCCCCACCGTGGCATGTGGTCGGCCCATCTTCTTCACGGCTATCAACAATGCCTTTAGATTGGCCGCCTCGTCATTGGCCAAAATGGTCTCTTCTCCACACCAGCCGTGTCTGCCCTGATCCGCCAGCGTCAGCTCCGAGGTGTGTCCCCGTCGCTACGCTGAAGATTTGTGCGATGTCTTGCCGACCCGCATCACCCCTCTTCTCGCCGCCTCAGATTCACCCTCCGCTGCTGCTTTGTTGCCATTTCCCAGGTGGTATCATTTTGACGGCCTCTCACAACCCGGGAGGACCTACCGAAGATTTCGGCATCAAGTACAACATTGCCAACGGCGGTAAGCTCTTGGCCCGCTGATCCATGTTCCCTTGGCGACGCCCCAGCCGCATCTCATGTCCATGCATGCGCATGCACCCCTTTATTATTGTGCAACCACAGGGCCAGCCCCAGGCAGCGTCACGGACACCATCTTCAAAAAGAGCCAAGCGCTGACCAAATATCAAATCTCAGATGCTGCCGACGTGGATCTCAGCGTCTTGGGTGAGGTCCGGGTTGAGGACATGATTGTTGAGATCGTCGACCCCGTGGACAACTACGCCACTCTTATGCAAGAGCTTTTTGACTTTGATGCCCTCAAGGCCTATGTGAGCTCGGGCATTAAGCTGCACATTGACTGTCTCAGCGGTATGTTTAGGCCCCTGATCCCCAAACAACCCCACCCCCTCGCACAGAACACACGTGCACGGCCTCGTCCACCAGCCCATGCGATAACAGTCAAGGACTGTTGTTGTTTTTTTTCCCGCTCTTGCTTTGATTTCATTCTTGCGGGCGTTTGCCCTCGCTGCCCCTTCCATTTGCCAGGCATTGCTGGTCCCTACGCGAAGCGCATCTATGTGGACCTTCTTGGCGCCCCGGAGGATGCCGTGGTCAATGCAAGCCCAAAGCCCGACTTTGGCGGTGGCCACCCGGATCCCAATCTCGTGTATGCTCACGATCTTGTGGCAGCCATGCAGACGGGTGCATACGACTTTGGCGCAGCCTTTGACGGAGACGCGGTTTGTCCTCGATCCTTGGGCAATCCATCGGTTGCCTGGCGCGGCAGTGCGCGATTGCAGCCTCCACGAGGTGTCGACGGGTTGGCCTTACTGAAACAGCCTTGCCTCACATTGCAAATGAACCCCTTTGAACTGCTCGCCTTCCCTGGCAATTCTTGTGCAGGATCGCAACATGATTTTGGGCAAAAATGGCTTTTTTGTGACGCCATCTGACTCTGTGGCCGTCCTAGCGGCCCAGTATGAACATATTCCCTACCTCAAGAAGAACGGCTTGCAAGGCGTCTCCCGCTCCATGCCTACCGGTGCGGTCATACTCGTGCGGGCTTGAGGTCCTTTGCTCCTTCCTTTTGATCAAGCATCTTTTTTTTTTTTTTATGCTTATTATTGTGGTCTCGTCTCTGATGACAACCCCCCTTGTTTGGCAGGTGCTGCTCTCGATCTTGTCGCAAAGAAGCTGGACATTGAATTCTTCGAAGTGCCAACCGGCTGGAAGTTTTTCGGCAACCTCATGGTTCGCCCTGCATGGTGTTTGATGGCGTGGCCCTCGTTGTAGCTGACCCGCTCTCCTTGACATGCGCCCCTCACGCGGCACAATGCCTAACAACGCAATGTGGCATTTCTTCTCCTCTCCTTAGGATGCTGGCCGCCTGTCGCTGTGCGGTGAGGAGTCGTTTGGCACTGGGTCCAAGTAAGTGCCCAGTTTCTACTCTTCAGGCATTATTCAATCATAGAGACGCTGTGGCTTACCTCCGTTTTGCCTTGCCCTCTGCGGCGGCAGCCACATCCGTGAGAAGGATGGTGTATGGGCATCACTTTGCTGGCTCTCCGTCATGGCTGGAACTGGACAGTCAATTGAGCAGATTCTACTGAAGCACTGGCAAGACTTTGGTCGCAATTTCTTCACCCGGTAAGCCCGATGATACTGTGTGTCTTTCCCCGTTCATTTGTTTGTTTGTTTGTTTGTTTGTTTGTTTGTTTGTTTTCCCTTGTGCCATTCTTTGCTGGCCCACTTTCACCACATGACCCGTGACTAATGCCTTGTCAACCGCCCGCCACATCCTGTACTTGCAGCTATGATTATGAAAACGTGAGCAGCGAGGCTGGTGATGCCGTCATGACCAAAGTGCGCAGCCTGATTGGCAATCAGGCCAGTTGGCCGACAGAGTACGTGACACAACCTGAATCTCTGGAAGCTTGACATGATTCACGCCTGCGCGCACTTGCACGCATCCGTGTGCGCTCATGTCCTCTTTTCTGTTGTGTGCTCGCTAGTGCGCCTTCGGGTCACAAGATTGCCTCAGTGGACGATTTTGAGTACACTGACCCAACCAACGGAGAAGTGACCTCCAAGCAAGGCTTGCGCATCATCTTCACTGATGGCTCGCGCATCATCTTTCGCCTCAGCGGCACGGGCAGCAGTGGTGCAACGATTCGCATGTACATTGATAGTTACATCAAGGACGATGCTGCATACACCCAGGACGCGGCGGTGGCATTGAAGCCTTTGGTTGAGCTGGCCCTGCAGCTCTCCAACCTGGCCGACCTCACGGGCCGCACTGAGCCCAGCGTGATTACTTAAGCGTGGCCAAAGGTGTTCAGACCTTTTTGTGATCCAAGTTCCGGCGTGTCTTTCAAAGTGCTCAAGACCATCTACACACGGCGTCGAGCTTGTTCATCACTTGTGCCAAAGTCCGTGTCCAATCCATGATCTAATTTCCATGCTCTTCAACCATTGCACGCTGAAAAAATGGGCTAGAGAGGATCTCCTCATACACAGATCGGAAGAGGTGTGTGTGTGTGTGTGTGTGTGTGTGTGTGTGTGTGTGTGTGTGTGTGTGTGTGTGTGTGTGTGTGTGTGCGGATGTGTGCAGGGCTATAACAGGCATAGTAGAAAGGCCAGCGACGAGAAGAATAGCATTGATTTGGACAACAACTAAGACTGAGATCAAGGGCTCGTGATGGTACAAATGTAACGTCGAGGAGGATGCAAGGTCGTGGTACCGATTGAGGTCAGGTCCATTATTATTTGGCTAACCCAAAGACAGAATAAGACCTCGATGACACTGAGGGTAAAGAAAGAAGCCCCGCTGGGCTGCCAGAGCTTTTGAATCTGCGCCCAGACGTCGTCACTGCTTGGTACCATTACTGCCTAAAAGAGTGCCAAACGGGTAATCCCACAGTTTGCTGCTGATACCGTAGCCTAAGAGAGCATAGTGTGAATTGGTGGGAAAACGAGCTGCATGAGGGGCTAGGAGCAACAGAAGAAGACAACATGCACATCAAGCTCGAGGCCAAGCCTAGCGTCTGAGGTGTTGTGCCAACCTCGCCTGCTCAATTGTGCAGCGTTGGCACCACCCGAGTGTGCTCGTGTACATACCCAAATCGGGCTCCTTATAGTGGTGACGACGATGATAATCCTTGAGATCTTGAAAGTAGGCCAGCGTAGGTTTACCATGATGGAGATAGTAGTGAATGAGGTCGTACGACACGTAGCCCAGGAGGGCACCAGCCATTAACGTGTCCGCGGTCGGGGCAGACAAAAGAGACCGGAATAGCAGGTAAAACGGTGAGGCCATCATAAAGCCTGCCACGGGCGGGAAGACGAGGCGACCCTTGTCAAGGGGGAACTTGTGATGCTGTCCATGCAGAAGAAAGTGGAAGGTGATAAAAAAGTGCGACTGGGAGAAGAGGATGTGAAAGAGGAAGCGATGCAACATGTACTCCAAGAAGGTCCAGAGCAGAAAGCCTCCCATGAACCAGACGATGATGCTGGCTTGGGACAGGGCAGCAGTGCCGGTAGCTCGCCACATGAGGAAGGCAATGATTGGAAGCCAGACGACTGGAATGGCCCACCAAGAGGTTGCGGCGAAAAATTCAAAAAAGTCGTAGCGAAACATGCGAAAGGTACGCTGTGAGGAGGGTCGGTGCACCCAGTCCCAGTAGGCGGGCCCCAACCGAGCCACTTGCACAAACATGGAGCCATTCATGTCAATCGTTGCCGGCGTGAGCGGCGCAGTGTCTGACACAGCCATGCTTGAATGGTTGTCAAAAGCCCTGATTGTCCAAACTCTGTTTCAGCCGTGAACCGAAAGAACGATACGACCGTGGTCAGCGACTCCGCCACGTGTTGCGCGCACGGTGGCGTGAAGCCTTTTGCCACACAGTGCACAGCAGCCGAGGCAAGAGCTTCCGTCGTGTCGGCGCAGCTCTCGTCCCCGTCAGGCGTCTCTGAATGCCCTCTTGCGCCTTCTTGGCCACACCAATCAGCAGCTCTAGACTGACACCGAGAGAGCCAACGCAGCAGCGCTCGCCCGCCCAACGTAAGTAAGTGAATGTGTGTGTGTGTGTGTGTGTGTGTGTGTGTGTGTGTGTGTGTGTGTGTGTGTGTGTGTGTGTGTAAGCACTGCATGTCAGTTGCATCCATTGATGTGTGTGTTGTTTGACACAAATGTCAGCCATTTGCTCGACCGCTTGATCCCTGTATGTCCCACTCACAACTTTGCTGGAGCGATCTGGACGTGCCCTCAAAGCAAGAGCCGCCGCAATCATGAGCTACCAAGGCCCGATTGTGGATACACACCATCATATCTGGGATCTGGAACAGCACGGTGATGGATACCATTGGATTCAAGCCATTCCGACAGGTAAGGCAACCTGTGTCAGCCTCGCGACATGAAAATGGACCACATTTACTGATCGTCACCCATGCGATGCACTGCGTGTGGGTGCGGTGCCCCAGACGGCAAGCTGGCAGTCTTGAAACGCTCGTATCTGCTGGTTGACTTGCTACAAGACTTTGCCGGTCACAACGTTGTGCAGTCGGTTCACGTGCAAGGGGAATATCGGGGAGACCCCATCGAGGAGACTCGCTGGATCACTCAAGTTCGTGCCGCCGATGCAAGTCAAAGCGGCTTTCCCCATGCCATCATCGGTTATGTCGATCTCGCAAGTCCCGATGCTGCCGCCATCCTTGATGCCCATGCCCAGGTCTGCTCTACACCTTCGATTTGACCTGGCAAGCATGAAAGGCAGGACCCGTCAAGGGTCAAAGAATTTAGGGACGAATGGGGTAGCTATAGAGACGATTGGAGCGAGCCCTCACAAGCTAACGTGTGTTGGCACGCGCAGTACTCGGGCTTTCGGGGCGTTCGACAGCAGCTCAACTGGCATGATGAGAAGGTGGATCTTCGAGCTGCCGAGCGCGATTACCTAGCCGATCCCACGTGCGTGAGCTCTCTTTGGTTGCATATGTGGACGCCGTGCTTCTTCCGTATATGACATGCCCTGGGCTAACATTGATCATGCTACCCAGGTGGCGAGCACAAATGCAACTAGTGGCCGACCGCAATCTCATCTTTGAGCTTCACCTCCTGCCCCACCAGGTAAAGTCATCATCATCATCATTATCCTCTGTGCTAGACCTCAACTTCCCGCCCCGCTCACGAACCTGCCTTCTGAACATGTCTTTGGCGGTGCTTAGCTGGCAGCAGCAGCAGAGCTGGCAGCCGAATACCCACAAGTCACATTCATCCTAAACCACGTCGCCTGTCCCGTGGAACGCGATGATGCGGGACGAGAACGCTGGCAAGCTGGCATGAATCTGTTGGCGCGGCAACCTAACGTGGCCTGTAAACTTTCCGGCTTGATTCATCCCATGCACACCTCAGCCGGTACGAAGCGCGACGCAAGCTATCCGTCCAATTCTTGGCCCCGATGCCACAGTGCCACTTTTGGACTGTTTGGATAGTGTATTCTTGTCAAGTTTGTTTGTTCTTCTGTCTCTCGTTTTTCTTTTGCTCCCGCTCAGCCGCTCTGGCCTCGGTCTTGCCTTGTTAGGAGAATGGAGTGCCAGTAGCCTTCAATTCTGGGTTGAGGGGGCAATCCAAGCTTTCAGCCCAGACCGCTGCATGTTTGGCTCCAACTTCCCCGTCGACAAGGTTTGCGGCAGCTATGCCGATCTCGTGAACGCAGTGAAGGTTCGTGCACCGCACACGCGCACAGAGCAGTGTTTGATTGTGATGCATCCCTGGCCCCAACCCTCACGGCCCTTGCATTGATCCGCATTGACTAGACGTCCCTGGATGCGCTCGCGCTCGAGGAGAGCGCACAGCGCAAGATCTTCCACGACAATGCCGTTCGTTTCTACCGTCTTTAGGCTGCTGAGGCTTTCACTGGTACATGTCACCAAGGGTCAGCTGTTCTTTTTGAGCATGCCAATGACTGAGCTTGACGCCAAACTCGACTGATTTGTTCATATGCCTCACTATGAGATGCTTGGCGCGCGCTCGTTCACCATCAAATGAAACAATGCTTTCAAAGGCGCCATGGCTACCCGTGGACATGTGGACATGCACTCACAAGCAACAATAAACAAATGGCAGCCAGCCTTGTTCATGCAAACTGACATGCTAAAGCTGCTCTTGTTTCCACTGGCTCGGAAGTATCCCTGTGACCATTCCCAATCAATAGAAAAGATTGAACAAACCATCAGTCGCTGCTTTGTGTGTGTGTGTGTGTGTGTGTGTGTGTGTGTGTGTGTGTGTGTGTGTGTGTGTGTGTGTGTGTGTGTGTGTGTGTGTGTGTGTGTGTGTGTGTGTGTGTGTGGCAGTATTGGGATGACTTTTGTGTGATTTTCTTTTTTTTTTTTTTAAATCATTCAGATCGAGGTCATTCGCTGAGACGTGGACCATAGTTTGGGTCGGGCCCCAGTGAGGGCCGAAGCTGAGGGAAGGAAGGGAGGATCAAGGGCGCCTCGCGCCAAGGTGGATAAGTGGAGGTGATAGCACATTCCTGGGTTGCTTGTGGGAAGCCCATCATGGCACATAACAGTGCCTCCCTGCGCGAGGTGGGTCATGTGGTGGCCTTGCCAAGCATGTTGCTCTTACTCTCGCCAAGCCCGGCACTCACTTGCTTCCACCGTTCCAACCCGCTACTTTGGCAACATCCGACCAACTTCACTAGCTGCTCTCCAAGTGGGATGCCCGCGACGATTCGGTGCTTGCCCCTCTGACGGCTGACGATCAAAACTCAGTGCTCGATCTGGTCAACTTGAGTACCAAACGTCCATTGCCCGATTTAGTAAGACGGTCCCAGTTGAAGGGCGTGTGTGTCAGATGTTGGCCATTGACTGCCTCTTTGATCTTCCTACCTTTGCCACCCACAGCCGATCGAGACCACAACCAACGAACCCCAAAACCCGTCCGACCCAGCCCCGAGTGCCGCCGAAACGCCCGAAGAACCAACACCAACGGTCACAGCTGCTCCCGACCAAGCCATCGAAACAACGCACCAGTTCTTCGCCTGGTTCGATCAGGTGCGTACCGAACCCGCATTGACAGGCTCCTTGTGCAAGCTCAAGCCACATGACACGCCGGCTTTGTGCACTCTCTTTGCAGCTGGAGGCTGCACAAATCGAGCAGCAAACCCGCCGCCACACAGAGTATCAAGCATACCTCTTGCAATGTCAAGCCACATGCGAAGCACTGCTTCAAGAAATTGACAACACGGCAACGTTTCTTGAGGTGAATCGACCCCAGCAGGACTTTTTTGCCATGACCCCCTCCCGCCCTCGCAGCATGCATTTCCCCCACAGCACCTCTCCCCGGCATCTCACATCCTAATGCAACGCTTGTGGTGCGTCCGGTGGCCAGACCTTGCGTCAATTGCACGCATCAGCCTCGACAAAGACCACAGCCCTGCATACGGCCTGTGATCGACTGTTGCAGGAGCAGACGAGCCTGGAAACTTTTGCACAAGCCATACAACAGCGGTTGGCGTTCTTTACCGAGTTTGAAGCCATTGCCAAAAAGCTGTCTTCACCAACTTTTAGCGTGCTCAGGTTTGTATTTGGCCGCTTTTCTCCGGCAAAAATTTCTCGCTAGCGCCCCTCAGGCCCTGCGCAGAGCTTGACGTGTGTGCCAAGCTAATGCACTCATGTGTGATTGATGGATCCGCTGCAGTGACCAATTTCTCCCTCTTTTGGGCCGGATCGATGAGATTCTGGGTTTTCTTCAGCAGCATCCCGAGGTCTGTATTTCGTTGCTAGCGAGGTGAACACCGATTGCCCCCATGGCTCAAGTTGAGACGCCCTCACTCTTGCCCTTGGCCCGTCTCTGAATTGTTCAGTACAAAGATGCCAGTACGTATCATGGGCGCTTCAAGCAGCTGCACAGCAAGGCATTAGCCATTATTCGAGCCCACGTTACAAACACGCTCAAGACGGCCACGCAGAGCGTTCAGATGCAGCAACAAGGCGCCGAGCACGCGGATGCCGCAGCGGGTGAAAGCTTCACGCTCTTCTATGGCAAATTTCGCATCCACGCACCCCGCATCCGCACCCTTGTCGAAGAACTGGAACGGCGCCGTGCCACCGCCCCCGACTACGAACCTGTTCTGGACGGTTGGGCCTCGCTCTTGCTCTTCGCATTGATCGCGGTCTCTCCTGCTAAATCCTCTGCTAATTTTTCAAAGTCTTGCTGACCATGCCCTTGCTCGCGCCTGTCGCGCCAGCCTGCTACGAATGTTATTTCTTGCAACGTTATACCTTGCTAAAAGGACCGGTGTCGGCGCGACTAAGTCAGTGAAGCGCCTCTGTTTTTCCAGAGTTTGCGCTCGGCCTCATGCTTCTGCTCTGCCCGTGACTTTGTTCGCCATTTAACACCACCGTGCCCTCATGTCTGTGGCCCTTGATCGCCCAATTTTGCAGCCGACTTGGAAGTGGAATACAAGTCAGATCTCACGGGCTTTGTGCGAGCTGCCAGTGCCTACATTGCAAGTTATCAAGTTATCGAATCTGCTGCACTTCTTGATGCGCGTGTAAATTCCCACCTCAACTAACCCTGCTTCGACGCCCTGGCTCTTAGAAACGTGCTTGTGGCAATGAACACCAGCTGTTCAGTCATTTTTTTCCAACACGCAACGCCGGCTTCACCCAGTTGATCGACTCATTGAGCCGCCTGCTCTACGATGCTGCCCGCCCCCAATTCTTCCGTCGCGAGATTGACCTCAATGCTCTTGTTGACCTTTGCCACATGCTGCGCATGGAAATGTCAATGAATACAGGTCATCAATGCCGTTGGGGTTGTGCTGATCCGCGCTGTTTGACACTGGGCCGGATTGGGAGGGGAGGAAGGATCATGTTGACCCAATGCAGCGTTTTGTTTGGCTCGCGTAAGACCGCCCGCCTCACCCTGTGCTTTGTTGCGCTGGCTTTATAGCTGACTACTTTGGGGCTTTCCGCGATGTGCTGTTGGAGTTGTTCCAGGATGCTCAACAGCGTCTCATCTACAAGGCTGAGGTGCGTGGTCCTGCCGTTTGCTCGCACGCCCGATCGCCTTTCCTCACCTTCTATGCGAATTGTGGTAGAACTACATGGACTTGTACATTCGCGGGTTTAGCCCGACCAAGGCTGACCTTAACTACCCAGAGCGGCTGGAAGTGAGTTGGCACGGCTGAAGGCCAGCAGTGCATAATACAGCGGCATCTCAACACCGCATCGCTGTGCTTCTGTCAAAACTTTGCGTGATGGTGCATTGAACTCACGAAATGGGTCGTTTGGCACTGTGTTCGTATAGGTGGCCACGGACGAGCCGCAAAGTATGTGGTACCGCCCCGTGGTGCAGGCTCTGACCTTGCTGTCCAAGCTCTACACATCCATCGAGGTGCGCATGCGTTGTCTAGCTGACCCTACACACCTGTCGCGGGATGGAAGACGACCAAGATACGCTGAAGCCTCATTAAACAAGGGTGCCCTTTTGTTTGTTTGTTTTTCAGAAAACCGTTTGTGAGGGGATCGCACGCGAAATCTTGTATGCTGCCCTGGATACGCTGGAGGAGGGCTTTCGGCTGCTAAAGGGGCAGGAGGACTCGATCAACGCGCATCTTTTCTATATCAAGCACCTCTTGGTGCTACGTGAGCAATTAGCCCCGTTCAAGGTGGACTTTAGTTCGATTGAGACAGAAGTGGACTTTTCCTCGACTCGCGGTGCGTCTTTAGCTTGGTCTTTCGCGTTTGGCAAAAGGAACTTGAAGCATGCGCGGTATCGGAGTGTGCCTTGTCGTCTTCCCGTGCGCTGGCCTGCATAATCTGATCATTGGCTGTTGATTGTGCTTGTTGCTGGCAGAGGCCGCATTTGGCTTGCTCGCGCAAGGCTCGGCCATCTTTCGCTTGGATAGTGAGAATGCCTTGCTCAACTTCTTGGTCAAGGTACAGCTGCCCAACAGACAAAGCTTGGTGGTGAATCGGTCCTGACAAGGCTGCGATCTGATTCGAGCGCATACGTGTCATTGTATTTTAGGGTACACCGGTCATTGTGAAGAATCAGCGCGACGCGCGTCGGGTAAGTCCGTAAACCTTGTTTTGTTTTGTAAACCTGTTTTAATCAGAACCATCTGCACCTGGCTCACCCGCACCACCCGCTTCATGCAGGACATTGATGAGAAGCTGCGAACGATGTGTCACGACTTTATCAACATTGTGGTACAAGCGCTGACGAGCCCTCTAGCGTCCTTCCGCATCCAGGTCGGCTCGACCATTGGGCTTTGCGCCGCTTGTAGTGAAATGGCTTGATGGCTCGTGGGCCCTCGGGTGAAGTGCAGGATGTGTTGGTGTCACGAATGGGTATGCAACGGCTTTTTGTAGGCCAAGGCTTTTGCATCTTCCTCGCAGGGCAAGACCAAGCTCTCTAATCAGGGATTTGCGAGCCCTGCTGCACTCTCGCGCCTCTTTGCCGAGCAACAGCAAACCCTCCACGACCAGGTGGGCTTTGCGCTGTCAACTGCTTGCACCGGCTTTCGCTTCTATTTCTCATCCGCTTCACTATTTGTTTTGGTGTCATTGGTTTTATGGGGGGCCCATGTGACTCGCCAGTTGCATCGCGTGGCGCGATTACTGGACCTTTACCTGGGTAACAGCCAGGATGCGGCTGCCATCCTGTTTCGTCCGGTGCAGGGACAGGTGCTGACATTGTATGGGGAGGTGCTGACCCTGCTGCAGGCGTCGTGCGATGCCGAGCATTTGGCGCAGGTGGAAGGTTTGCCCATTCTGGAAGAGGTCAAATTGTCCGTCATCCTGCCGTCTCTGGCAAAGACTGAGCCTGCCGCAGCCACGAGCACCTCGATTCAGGGGGAGGCCGTTGCCCCCGAGTCCAAGTCCAAGCCCAAGCCCAAGCCCGAGCCCGAGCCCGAGCCCGAGCGCAGCGAGCCCGACTTGAAACACGAAGAAACCGAAGAGAGTAACGGCTCTATTGCTGCTCCCACCGAAGCATCTGATGCCGTCGATGGCTCTCAAGCTTCATCATCAGCTCCTACGGCATGAACGCTAGACTCTATGTGAAGCCCATTTCATCAAATTTATAGCCATCCCATTTTTTTGAGATTTTTTATTTTTCCCATAAGCAATTAGTGTGATCAACCATACACTTTGTGCTCCAAGGCAAACTCTTTCATTTGGTACCGGCCGCGCTCAATTCCAGCCTGGTCTCATTGAGGGTGCATCAGCAACACCGCCCGCCTTTGGCACATGTGTCGTCCGCCCTTTTGTTCTTTCTCAAACTCTCCCGCACAAACGCTTTTCACTCTCTCTTTTGTTTCTTCTCCTGAGAGAGAGAGTTATTATTATCATCGTCATCATCTCTCGTTGCTCTGCCTTGGCCTCGTCGGGGTGAGTGCGCTCAGCTTTGCGTGCCGGGGAAACGGGCAGGGTTGTCCAAGGAGAAGGATGCCTCGCTCCTGTCTGGTTGGGGAAGTGGGAGAGCGGCAAACGCAAAGCCTTGCATTGCTGCCGCCCGATATTTGTAAAAAGCATGTTGAGCCACTGGGCATCTGGCTCATTGCCCTCTGCTGTGTGCCATATGGCCCCATGCCCCCCCCCGCCCCTCTCGTCCCGCTTGGCCCCAGCAGCTTGTGCAAAGTACCTCTGCGCCTCTACTGCTCACCTTGTGGTTGAGCCAAGCACTTGATTTTGCAGTGCATGCTCACGGTTAAGCCTGCCGCTAGTTTTCAGGCAGCTTGAACAAGCGTGCCCCCTTGCATTTGAGCACCAAGCCCCAAGGTACTGTTATCCTGGAGCCTTTGACTTGCTGTGGTCAATGGCCTGATGATCATGCTCGTACCGACTGGATCTACTTCCTTCTGCTCGCGAGCCCTGGCCGTCCTTGGACGCAGCCGCGTCTGGGTCAGGGGATATGATCGCGCGCCACGGGTTGGCCGACAGAGGGTGCTGGTCCCATTTCTGATGCGCTCCTCATGCCTGCTTGACCTGGCGGCATGGATCGAACCTGTTAGGCACCGCCATCATGGACCGTCTCTCTCGTCTTCGCCAAGTACGTTGATGCTGATGACATGAGCCTTTCTCGTGCTGAGTTGGGGTGGTTTTGGTTTTTGTTTGCCTGGGTTCATCCGCTACTTGACCGTGATGTCGCTTACTCTGCCTCACTGCGCTGACAAATTGATTCTTTCGCTGACCAGATGGCGGCCGAAAATCAGCCAGCCGAAGCCTCTGACGCAGCCGGTGGTGCTGAGGCACAGATTGAAGAGACGAGCCTATCTGCCCAGCCAGAGCCTTTCATGGCCGACTTTTTTAACCGAGTATGTCGCCTGCCAACCAATGTCCCTTTTTGCGAAACCCTATGCGAGCCGTGGGAGAGCGTGTCCTTCCGGCCTTTGAGCCTGACGCCCATGGAAATCATGTCCACGCTGGGTCTTTTTCCTGCTACTCTCGATAGGTGAAGCGGATAAGGGATAATATCGAAGATATTGAGCAGGCGATTGAACAGTAAGCGCATTCGGCGCATCGGCATTCGAGCTACTCGCCCTGTCTTGCATGACTCCTCCACCTGGATTGTCATCTTACTCGTTTGGGCTCGATTTGTATTTTCCAGAGTGGCCCAATTGCACACAGAGTCTTTAGTGGCTGTTAGCAAGGAGGACCGCGACCGTACGTTATGCGAGCCATCACTCCTTTGGCTTTTGACTAGTAGCTTTCCTCCTTCTCTCAGAGACCATGCTGTCCATCAACAAATGCTTAGGCTTGAATGAAAAATTGCAAGACACCATGGCACGCATCAGCGCTCTGGGTAACAAGATTCGGGCCGATCTCAAGCGTAAGTGATACCTCGGCCTGAGCCTGCGTTGCTTGATGAGCAGCCGCGCCCCTCACTCAAGAATGACTCGGCAACAACAGAGATTGAGAAGGAGAACAAGCGTGCACAGCAGGAGGGCACCTTTGAGGATGGCACTGTGTCGACCGACTTGCGTATCCGCCAAAGCCAGCACTCCTCCTTGAGTCGCAAGTTTGTCAAAGTCATGACCCGCTATAATGATGTACAAGCTGAAAACAAACGCCGCTACGGTGAAAACGTGGCCCGTCAATGTCGAGTCGGTAAGTGGCACATTCCTCAACGTTGCTGTCGGTTCGAAACCCCTACAACACGTCCAAGTCTGACGCCAGTTGCGGTCCCTTGTGAGCGAGGAAGCGGAAGGCAACGATGCTGAAACTCACCGTGGTTGGTGGGTCAATCATATAGTGGAACCGTCGCTGAGCGACGACGCCATCCAAAAGGTCATTGAACATGGCACCGAGGGCATCTTCTCCGGCATGCGGGTAAGTTGGGATGGTCACGTTCCGAGCGGAGACAGGGTTGGGCTACTCTAGACGGATTCTGGTTTTTGCGACCTCATGTACTTTCTGCTCCACATCTCACCAGCTGGAGGGCGCTGAGGCAAAGCTGAATGAGATCCGTGATCGCCACAAAGACATTCAACAACTGGAGCGCTCGCTCTTGGTCAGTTGAAACCGACATTCCATGCTTGTGGCTTGCTTATCGAGCCTTGTCGTGCTTCACCGACCTGACGTTTGTGGTGCAGGAACTGCACGAGATGTTTACCGACATGTCCACATTAGTGGCGAGCCAAGGTGAGGCCCTTTGAAGCTGCAGGCTCATTGGTGGTTCAGCGAAATTTCCAAAGCCAATTCAGAGCCGGTGAGGTCTGGCTTGCTCATGCCTAATACCCCCTTTCAGGCGAGATGATTGATCGCATCGAGTTCTCGGTGGAGCAGTCACACAATTATGTGAAGAAGGCCACGGAACAGGTCGTGCAAGCTCGCCATTACCAAGAGTCGGCTCGTCACGTAAGCATATCTGGCGTGCCTTTTTTTGATGACCCTCCTCAAGCTCCCATATACACACTGAACATGCTTGCTCTTGTCTGGGCTCACAAAACCTACTTGTTGCCATGGGATCCTCTTGCAGAAAATGATCTGCTGCATCTCCATCGTCGTTATTGTCGTTGTCATTGTCGTTGCCATTGCCGTGTCAAGCTCATAACATGCTGACGCCAGTGTCGGTTCAAGTTTTTGATGGTTCATGTGCCGTGTATCACTCTACTTTGCGTGTGGCCGCTTTGTCTCCACTTGCTTTGCCTTGCCACCTGATGTGCTGGGCATGTAAATGCAGAGCAGCGCGGAGGCAACCCCTTGCGCGCGTCTATTTCCAACGCTAAGCCTGTCTGGCTCGTGCTTGGAGCAAACTATTCACAATCGAGGCCTTGCCCAAACAACACCCCATACACCTACTCCTGCATGCCTCTCACTCGTCACGGCCACCAAGCAGCCCCACGCCAGCCCCATGCCAGCCATGGCCACCAAGTCTCAAGAGACGAGGTACTGGACACCAAAAGTTGAAAATCAATCAAACAAAACAAAAAGAACTTTGCAACAACAACAAGAGAAACAACACAATGGAGTGAACAAACCATTTTTTGCTTGTTGCTTTGATAGTGGATACAGAGACGCGAACGTAGCCGCCATGGATGAAGTGATCGGTATGTCTGTTTGAGCGTGTGCGCCATGGTACCAACCCCGCATACACCCTTGCTTGTTGACTTGAGGGGGAGACGTTGCGTCTGAACCTTGCCCCGGGGCGCTCATGCTTGAATGGCCTGCTCCGTGCTTGTGTCGTGTGTTAATTCAGTGCCTCGAAACTTTCATTTGCTGGAGGAGCTGCAAGAAGGTGAAAAGGGTGGCCGCGACGATGACGGCACGGTGCGTTGGTGTGGCTCCTGTTTGCAAGACATGAGCCGCACCCACAGCCCCATCTTTCAGACCAGAATCCTTTGCCGTCACTCAGTACCCCATGCTTGCGCCCGTTGATAACATCATCTCACTCATGGGGTGGGTCGAACCAGGTCTCCTGGGGCCTGGAGCAGGACGACGACATTGAACTGCAACACTGGCGTGGCATGATCATTGGCCCACCACGAGTAAGAGCGAAGGCTCGTATCTTTGGGCGCCATCGGAGTTGGAAGCTTCAGGTTGTCCTGACCCTTTGGGACGTCCTGTGTGAGAGTAGACACCCTTTGAGATGCGCATCTATGAGCTCAAAATCTTTTGTGGACCTCGCTACCCAGACCTCCCGCCTGAGGTCCGATTGGAGCACCTTGCATTGGCTACTGTTCCACCCTGCTCCCCATTCTTTACGTTTCGCTGCTGATAGCGAGAGGCGGCGACAAATCTTACAGCCGCTGCTATTTTTGCTTGAACTGTGCTTGACCCCGCAATGTGCAGGTTTATTTCCGCTCACAGATTCATATGGATTGTGTCGATGCAAACGGCAAAGTACGTTCCGTGGAGCACTGCAAGGGGGTTGACTCTGGCCTGCATCATCTGTTTGCATCATAAGAGCGTAAACTCGAGCCAAGCCTGAGGTTGCCCCTGAATGTCATGGTGGCAGGTGATTCCCGGACGCCTGCCGGTCCTGGCCTCCTGGACGCGTCGAGGCACCATCAAGAGCGTGTTGCAAGATTTAAAGCGGTATGTTGACTGTCTTACGGTGCACAGACCTTGTCTAGGTTTCTTGGGACAAATGGATTTTGATCAAGCACGCTGGAAGCAGAACTCTTATTTGCTGCTTCCTGATATACCTGCCACCCTATCGCGTGTCTCACTCGCTGTTGGGGCGGGCTTTGCACCACTTAAGGGCCATGATGGACCGGCGCAACCTGAAGCTGAAGCAGCCCGCAGAAGGTTCGGCCTACTAGCGCCTTACTCTCTGCTGCCACTCCGTGAGCTTGCGTCGTGCTGCGCTGAGCCCATGTCATGTGGTTTGAGAGGCGCCGCGATTGCTTCCTGTGCTCTCCTTTGATGTGGATGCCGCGTCTTTCATGCCTGGCGCGTTTTTGTGGGTATGAGAGCCTGTGGTGATGAATGCCAATGCCCTTCAGGGTGAAATAAATACAGAGCGCCCAGCACGAGGTTTGTTTTTTTTTGGTACATATGCTACTGTGGACTCAAAGGTGAATTTGATTGCCAAAACGAACAAGGCGGTCGCACGACCGGGTTTGAGTCACTTACCGCTTTCTGCCAGTGTGATGGCGGGACCGTCAGCTGTCTCGTGTCGTGTTGCGCTGTGCTGGGTGTGGGTCGGACGAGAAGATTTCTTCACCAAGTGGGTAGAATCAAGTGCAACTGATTGAAACAGCTGGGCACCAGAGGATAAAAAAAAGCACAGAACAAATCGGACAACGGTCGGCCACGGTTTGAGACCAGGACACGCTGGTACAGATACATGACAAGCAAGCAGTCCCAAAAGACGTGGGCTCTCCAAGTCAGATGACTTGAAAAGACGGATAAGTCACACAAAACAAGTCTTCAGCGAGTGAAGAAAACACCAGAGCACAGCCAAGAGCTGTCTCGCACAACGCTTCGCGCAAGCCTAATGAGTGGAATAGAAGAGAGACGCAAGGAGCTGGCTCATTTACAACGGCAAGGGGACTCGCCCGTTGCGTAAAGAAACCCTGAAAAGCGGGTCTCGATGGGCTGTGACCACAACCCTCAGCCCATCAGATACGTCACCGTTGGCGGTGACTGATTGCTGCCTTGAGGCGCTAAAACACCTTAAGCAGATGCGGCCATCATCTTGTAGGCAACGCCAGCACCAATAGCCAACAAGCCGACCACGGTGTACAGGGTCCTAGATCGCGGGTGCAAATGCAGCACGTGACCACCAGTGAGTCAAAGCAAGTCACAAAATAACCCTCGATGTGAACTGACTCAAGCAACGCGAAGCAAGGATAACACGACACAATCGAAGATGCTCGCTGATCGGGCTCGCACAAAAAGCAAATGATGGTTTTTGATCAACTGTTTAAGTATAAAGCCAGAAATAAACGGAAAAAAATCTTGATGGCATCGTTCCGTGTTCAAACACATGGTGCGCGCGTGCTCACTCATAGACACAGACACACACACACACACACTCTCTCTCTCTCTCTCATATCACAAAAAGCAATCCACCTCAAAATGTCCAAGAAGAATAAGGAGGGTTGGACAGAGGAGTTGAACATGAAAATACTACATGATAACACACCATGAATCGCTGCTGCCACCGGCAGGGGCGTTGGTCGAGGTCTTCTTCTGTGTGATCAGTCGATCCATGCATGCCAATTGCACGACATCAGGGGTGAGAGAAGGCGAGGTGGGCAGAAAGCAAGAGGGGCAGCTGGCTGACTCAGACCAACCTCGGCCTTGGAGGCAGCGGCAGCCTCATCCTCGGGCAGAACACCAATCTCATACTCTGCCAGCATGTCACGAGCATCCTGGCTGTGGCCCGTATCTTCAAAGGCCTCAGTGCCATCCTGGCCTGCGGCGCGAAAGGTTGTCACATGAGGTGGCTCGATGCTGGAACGGGATTTTGCCCATTGCAGAGCAGAAACTAGCAGGGGATCGATGCAGTCTGGAGAAGAGGAGGGAGGGAGCTTCGTACCAGCGTGATCCATCATCACCTCTTCACCTCCAGGATGCTAAACAGGAGCCGAGTGCAGAGTGGAGGCAGTCAGGGTGAGCTGGGGACTGGAGCGTGCCTGCCGGTCGACAAACGATGCGGCAGTTGAGCAACCAGCAAAGGACGGACCTCCTGCAGGAACTTTGTCACATCGTAGACCTTGCCATGGATGGCCATGTAGCAGCTGGCGTTGCTGTCATGCTTGGCCATCTCGGCCAGAGAGATCACCTTGGCGGCCATGCTGATTGGTGTGTGTGTGCTGAAGAGGGTGGGTTCGGTGACACGCGTTGATCTACAATGACATAAAGTGAGCCTGACGCATGAGTTCCAACCGAAAGAAACATCGAGGCAAGTGCGGGGGAGAACAAACAAGTCAGGCAAGTCAGGCAAGTCAGGCAAGTCAGGCAGGCGGGCTGGTCCAGCGGCGATAGGGTCCCACCTTTGCTGAACAAGAGAATGCGACCGATGATGCCCAAAAAGAGAGAGCGAGCAAAAGGGGGAGGAGGAGGTGTGGTTGGTCAACGTGGCACACACACACACACACACACACACGCAGTCACTTTGTGTTGGACCCCGCTTTGTTCTTGCTTGATAGACACATGGAGACCAATTTCCCCCATGTACATGTGCATTACCGTTGAATGTGCGATTTCAATGTCATCCTGCCACACACACACAAATCCAACAAACAGCTGATTTTTAGCTGAAAGTGTGACCAGGGCTACACTTGCGCCGAAAGCCGCCAACATGGAAGAGAAGGTCCCTCGCTACCAGATGTCAGACACGACGCTCGTGTTGGAAGAGTCTCCGCGAGTCTTCGAGGAAATTTGTTCAGTCTTGAGCGCTGATACATCGAGATTTGAACCCTCGCTCTCGTACTTTTCTTACCCAGGTGTGTTGAGTCGTCTGGCCACGGCACCAAAGCGCGCGACCAGACCGGCCGGGTCGTGTTGAGCGAGGTTCAGCCCTTGGACATCTGCTTGAGGCTCCAAAGTCAGGGCAGTCAGGAAGAGATATGAGTGCATGCTGCCTAGACCGCGGACCAAGGCACTGCCGTTGGCACCAGATGAATGATGACTTTGTGCATCCCAGCCAGCAGCCCGCATGGCTGGTTTTTTTTTCCTTGAGGGCGCATGTGCTCTTGGTGCTGAGGATGTAGTGGGATGGTCCATCATCATGTTGTTTTGTGTCGAGGGTCATGCAGTGCCCTGCCCGTGTGCATCTTTCTTCTACGGCCGTGTCAGCCCACGTTTGTTTTTTTTGCTGCGCACACTTGTCGGATTCTCACGTCTCTTCCTGGTTACTTTTTTTTTTTTTTAAACCCTTGATCGGACCTGGTCAGACCTCATAGCCATGGCTCCCAAGAAGACAGCCGCCGCTCCCAAGGAGAAGGAAGAGGTGACCCTCGGTCCCCGTGTAAGTATTGACCAAAAATCTCTTCCGCGTGCCCGCTCGTAGCACGAGGCCTGGCCAGGGCAGCTTCTTCCACGGCACAACTCGTTGTTTATGAGATTGAGGCTGATGGCATTTTTTCCCCATGTCGTACTTTCAGGTGGCCGACGGTGAGCTCGTCTTTGGCGTTGCCCACATCTTTGCCTCTTTCAACGACACCTTCGTCCATGTGACGGATCTGTCCGGAAAGTGAGTATCCGATTTTTTTTGTTGGCGACCGTTTTCAAGGCTGTGCGCTCCTTTCGACTTGTCGAGTGTTCCATGTATCATGGCCAGTTGGAGTTGTGCCGGTCGTCTGCGTTGTGGCGTGTCTTCTCTTGTGCTCACGCTTGGATGCACATGACCTTCGTGGTTGTTATCACGGTAATTTAGGGAAACCATCTCGCGTGTGACTGGTGGCATGAAGGTCAAGGCTGATCGCGATGAGGCTAGCCCCTACGCCGCGATGCTTGCCGCCCAGGATGTCGCTGAGCGCTGCAAGCAGATTGGCATCAACGCCCTTCACGTTAAGCTGCGTGCCACCGGTGGCAACCGCACCAAGACCCCCGGTCCCGGCGCTCAGTCGGCTCTCCGTGCCCTCGCTCGCGCTGGCATGAAGATTGGCCGCATCGAGGATGTCACCCCCATCCCCTCGGACAGCACCCGCAAGAAAGGTGGTCGCCGTGGTCGCCGTCTGTAAGCCGCTTGTCGGTTACGATGGTGGCGCATTGGCTTTTCCATGCTCGCAGCCAGGTTGGCTCGGTCAAGGAAATCCTTGGTTGGATTTAACGCAGTTTTGGGCAACAAGACTGCGGCCAGCTTTGGGAGTCGCACAGGGGCAGGGTTCCTCTATATCACGGGCGTCATGTCGTTTCTCTTTTGCTCGCGGCTCTTGCTCATCAGATGCCACAATTTGATTGCCAAAAAAATGATCTTTAAATTTGTCAATTCGACAAGTGTGCCTCACTCCACATCCCTCTTGGGTTTGGTGGTTGCTGCATAAATTTTCCAACGACAAGCGATGCACTCCTCCTCCCTCCTTTATGTCCATTCGTCTATTGGCCCTTGCCTCCTAATGGAATCACGGCCATTGACAGTGGTCGAGGACTTTTTGTAATATAGTAAATGCAACTCGTGAACCAGTTGATCAAAAGAGAGGCGGAAAAAGCCTGACGATGAGTGGTGGTGCGGATGTTGACGATGAATTCCTAGGGCGCCACAGAGACGACCACCAATCCCCGGATGGAGGGATTAGCCCTGCCTCACACTCTCCTGTCGCAATGCTTTCAGCCGAGCGAGGTTGTCCCCTCTCCCCAGGATGGGCCCTAACATAATTGACATGAAAAATTGACCCACTCAGGAAATCCATTGATTTTTGCTGGAAACGTGAGACAAGCATCTTTCGAACGTATGTGAGAAACAGGGGTGTCGCGATCTATTACAAAAAGTCCTCGACCACTGTGAATGCAGAGAAGGGGTTTGCCGGCAACGCTCACGAACTCAAATGTCAGAAAAAGCTGCTCAAACATCATCATCACATCAACACGGAAACTAAGTCTTTTTTTTTTTTTGCTGAGGCAGTGACCTCCGTGAACGATCGTCATGACCGGGCGCGCCCATGCAGAAGCCATGAGCGTGTGGCTGTACGCACCCAATTTGATCGGCTATCTGAGACTGGCCCTCATTTTGCTGGCCTTTACCCGCCTCTTTGATGCCTTTCCCAAGTCCTTCCTCATCATTTACAGCCTACAAGCAGCACTCGACTGTGCGCCACGCTTCTCCCTGCCGGCCCGTTCGACGTGGTTTTAGCACCCGCCCTGCCACTCATCTCCCCGCCTGTTCTGCCGGCCATCCTTTTGCCAGTTGTGGACGGCGCACTTGCTCGTGCCTTGCATCAGACTTCAGCCCTCGGCGCGTTTGTGAGCTTTGAGGGCCATTGATTTTGCTTTGCAATTTTTTTTTTTTGGAAGCAGACTCATTCATTTCGCTATGCTACGCTACGACTGTCCCGACCCGTAGCTGGATGTAGCCATTGACAACCTAGGCCGTAGCCTGCTTTGGGCTCGAGTGGCACCCGTAAGACTGGTCTTTTCCCGCCTGCCTCAGTGGTCGAGACAAAAGAAGGCTTCACGTTAAGAACACCACGCTTGCAGTCTCACCTCTCTCTCTCTCTCTCTCTCTCTCTCTCTCTCTCTCTCTCCCTCTCCCTCTCCCTCCCTCCCTTTTGCCTTTGCCGTGCCCCTTAGGCTTTGGGTGGCTGGATTGGCTGTATCGAATGGATCACCTTCATTGCTCTTCACTCTCAGGTGGGCTGTCCAATGCCCTCCCTGCTCACCGCTCACTGGTTTGTCTTCAAACTTGATTTGACGAGGCAATATGCCTTGTCGTCCGCAGGGCCCCAACTGGAAACTCAAATTCACCGAAGCCCCGGCTTTTGTTCAAGCCGTTATGGCTAATGGTGCGCTCCCTCGGCTCTCCACCCAAGCACAGATAGGCAACCAACTCTTTTTGCGCTGTGTCGGCTGATACCGCCTTGCCGCTTTGCCGCTTGAATGTAGGATTTCGCACACCTCTCGGCACCATCACCATCGCAGGCTTGCACGTTCTCCCAATTTGGTACTACGCGGAAAATAAGGGAGTTGGTAGGATACCGCGCATTCCCAATGGATCTGAATTGTCGCCGTGTGCCCCTGCTACCTGCAGGCAATTGCTTTTGATAACGTCTCCTCTTCCTGTGTACTGCTCTGCTTGCTCTGGTTTTGGACAGCTAGTAGCCTGCGCTTGCCTCGCCAAGTCCGCTTTTGGATTTGGGCCCTGCTCTTGTTTGGCCGCATCTGCAGCCTCCTGTGCGAGACTTGGGTCATGAGTCGGCACCTATGTCATCTAGCCGCTGAGCCATCACCGGAAGCAGAGCTGGGGCCAGAAGCAGAAAGTATTCCAGGCCGCGCCTCGGGCACAGCTGACCCGTCATCTTCCAAAAGCCATTCAGAGTAAAATGCGTGAATGCCTCCAATGCTGTTGACCACGAGTGCGCTCGCGCAAAGCACCGATGCCAATTGGACCCCCATGCTGTGCATGGAATTGAATTGAGAGTTATTTACAAGCCTCTAAAAGGGTTTCTTGAGCAGGCGCCTCGTCTAGACGTTGATTCTATGCCTCTGACCTGCGCCTAGCATCGTTCTTCCAGGCTGGCACCGTGGCTCTTTGGCAGATCGTGCTGTCGAGTATCTCAACACCAAGCCGAAGCGCCATCGTCACCCAAAAACAGCGTGACCGTGCGTCGGCTTTGTCATTGATGTGTGGAGCGCGCATCCAACTCTGCCAGCAGTCCGTCCATGTCCTGAGCTGCACGCTGACCCAAAACGGCAGCAGGCAACTGGCCTGTCCAAGCCTATACATGATAGGAACACAAGCCACACTCAATATCCGCGCGGCTCACTCGATGCCCACCAGGTGAAAGCCTTGACAGCCTCACGGACCTTCTCACACAGCTGGGCCCGCCGGCGCAATTCGGACGCCAGGCGCGTAGCAGCGGCACGATAGCGCAGACCAGTGCGTCGGTGCCCCACCGCGTCAAATATTGCGTCATCAATTTGTCGTGCCAAGCACTCCGCTGCGCTCTCGTCGTCGTCAATGCGAATTGCAAGGGAAGCAGCCAGATCTTGCTTTGGTGGAGGCACGCCCAAGGCCGAGCATATCTGCCGGCAGCATGCTTGGCGCACCTGCACGCCCCATGACAAGAGCGTCACGTTCATCAGATGGAGCCGCAAGAGCCAATGCCGGCTGGAACATGTGGCAATTGCACGACACGCACCGCCTCATCAGGACCCTCCCGCTTCACAGGCAGGCGCGGCTTTGGTGCGGCAGCTACTGTTTCACTCCAGGTGGCATATAATCGCTATCATGCCACATGAGCCAGCTGGTCCGAGGACTTGGCCAACGATGGCCGAACGCCATGTCTGAGCCCTGTCGAGTCAGCAACGGTCAATAGTCAAGCATACCTTGGCCAAACTTGCCACATGGGTATCCCCATGGACTCGCAGCATGCTCAAGATTGGCAGCAGCCCCATTTGCTTGATGAGCTGCTTGGCAACGCGCTTACGCTCCAACGACTCCATGGCCATGATCATTCCCGCCACATCCTGGGGATCTGCGTCCAATGCTTGTTTGAGTCGCTGTGCATCATCCATAAAAACCACGCCCTAAAGGTTGTCGAAAAAATGAATTGAGACCGAGGGAAACGGAGAAAAACAGAAAGAAATGAGAGCACAGGACACCAAGCCACTTAGACTTCCGTCATGGCCTCCACACACCAAGCCAGTAAGCTAGACACGACGTGCCGTACCCGCAAATCCTCGATTTTGGCCTGTTTCAGCGGGGGTGCCCCGCGACGCCGCGGCAACTGGCGCGCAGGTCCAGCCCGCCGGACCACAAATTTGTCCATGCCAAATCCTGTTGGGCGAGGGTACTCCCCTCCCGGCACTCGGCTCAAACTTTGTGGTGCCTCCTGGTTATCAGCACGGCTCCATTCGAATGCATAAGTTTGAATGCTCCCCGATGCTCCCCCGCCCCCGCCCGCGCCCCGCCTCCACTCCAACAAGCCACAGAAACGAAAACTTGTGTGTAACGGCTCAAAACTGCTTCCAACAACCACACGCTGACCAAAATCTGACAACGAAACCATCGGTCTGTCTGACAATTTGGGTCGCGCATGAACGTTTGTTTGTCAACAGAAAAGTTGCACAGTGGTCGTCAAATCGTGAGCGCCGCCGTCACGGCATTTTCTTGACTTTTGGACCTCTTTGACCCTGTGGGGGGTGAGTGGGTGAGGCAGTGCTGCGCTCCCTGGCAAGTTTTGGAAGGGAGATGAGCTTGCTGGAGATTTCTATCCCCTACCCTTCAATCGCATGCATACCCACGACCGAGACACTGCTGCCCCCTCGCCTCTGGCTTTTAGATGAATTGGAGACCGGGCTGACCGACACTTCGACCTGCACCATGTCCATGTTTCAACGGGTAGGCCTGGTCTTCTTTCGTCGCATGAAGCTTCTTTTTTTTTTTCAATCTTCTAGCCTATCGATCATCTCATCACCCGTGCGAGGATTGCGTTGTGGTAGCGTGGGACAGTGAATCGAAGCCGCGCCGCGGCCGCCGTGGCAGCTGAGCGACAAAACCGCAACCCGGTTCGGCGCCGCTTCAAACCTGGCCTCTCGCGCTTGCACTTCATCTCCACTCACCCTAGCTCCCTCCCAAACCAGAACTGGGTTCAAGTTACAAAGAGCTGGCATCCATCTTCCGATCAACCGACTTGCATTGCTGCCAGCGCGGGAGACGTACTGGTGCTCAAGGAACGCCAGACGCAAGGTGCAGGCTCATCAACGCCTTCCCACGCTTCGCCATCCTTCAACGCCAAGCTGCTCTCTCTTCGACCTCTCCTAGGCTCACTTGTTCCTGCGCCTGGTCCGATCTGGCTCTGTCTCACCCAACTGTAGATTGGTACATGGTCAAGCACATCAACACGGGTGCAGAGGGCTACTTCCCCTCCAAGTTCCTCACTGCATATGTCTCCCCAGAGTCCAAGGTATATCTGGGAATAGGGCTCTATGCGTGCGCACGTGTATGTGTGTACGATCACTCGACTCATCCCTCTGCTGTGGACACTGTTGGTACAGCTGCCCTTGTATCGTGCCATGTACGATTTCCGACCAGATCGACGGGATGCCCAACAGGTACTGGTGTTCAACTCGGCAAATTCTCCTGCTCACAGACACTTGGCCATCCTCGCCTGATCCGGCTGCTCCACTTTGAACCCTGATCGCTTGAATCTCCTTCAGATTGAATTGGTGGCCGGGATGACCTATAAGGTCCTGAATCAGTCTGATGCCTCCTGGTGGCAAGTCCAGCTTCAGGAAACCATGGCCACGGTACGCGTAGCTGTAGCTGTAGCTCTACCGTGCCTGTAGAATACCAACGCTGATGAGAGGATTTGGCTGTGCTTTGCACTTGCCCCGCCGTGCTGTACTTTTGATGTGGCATAGACTGGCTATGCTCCGGCGGCCTTTCTCACGCCCGTCAAGCCACCAAACGTTCGAGAAATGCCTTACTTTTGCGCTCGTGCTTCGGATCTCGATATCGAAGCTGCCCTCAAAAAAGTTGGTTTTATGCCCGCTATACTCGACCATGACTCCTTGCACAGCTTACCCCCTTCTGACTCTGATCTTTGATTCTCGTCGCTCAGAATGGCGTCAAAGGTGCATATGTGGTGGGCGAAGACATCAAGGGCAATTTACATCTCTACATGTTGTCAGTAACCCGGCCTAATTATGCGTTGAACAACCCACGCTTGCAACTTCTTTTTAACACTCACAGCGTACATGGTCCACCTTGCTTTCCACAACACTCGTGTGTCTGTGAACAGATCCAAGGCCAAGAAAATGGAGACGATGCCCATCCTTCAATCGGGCCAGATTTACCATCTACGTGGTGATTCAGTACAACGCGACAACGTGGAAGACCTCCTCAGCCATTATTACGGCTTTGAGGTAGGTCCATCAACATGATACTGTGATTTTCAGCACCTGAAGGTCGACTCTTCTTGGTCGGGCTTCACCACAAACGTGTGCCTGTGTAGGTGGCTGGTTCCTTTGGCAAGCTCAAGCAACCACTCTTTTATGAGATGCCCACCACGCGCAAGCTCAACGAGGAAAATCTTGAGAAGATTCATCGCATCGAATGGTGCATGCAGACTGTTCTAGACACTGCCAAAAATGGCCTTTTGCTCAATTCTGAGGTACACTCAAGCTAGACGCGGCATCTGACTGTCCCCCTATTTCTATTGTCCTCTTGGCGTTGCGATGGGCTAGAATTTCATGCTTCACCTGCTGATGCTGCACAGCGTTTGCACATGGCCAAACTCGCGCTGGCGCGTTCAGAGCTCCGCAACGGCAATGACATCTCTGGTGAGCTGGATCATTTCGTGCGCTACTATGACCCTGTCAAGCGGGCTCTTACCGAGCCAATGCCCATGGATCTGATGACGCCCAAGCCGTCGGCAACTGATGCTATTCGAAGGTTGGTTTTATTTTTCTTCTTCTTTTATTTTTTATCATTTTCCATCCATTTGCACGCTAGCACCGACGCTGTAATTCTACAAAGTCACTCGATATCGCACGCTGGCGCTAGAACGGCATCTCGGCAGGCCCCTGCACCACCCTCTCGCCGTTCGACGCTCAGCACCAACGCATTGGCCCGAGCGCCATCCATCGTGCCCCAGCGCCAAGCCCCATCATCGCCAGCCACAACCACGAGCGTACCTCAGGCGAGCAGGGACAGCATGGATGTCAAGAGCGAGGTGGCTGTAGCGCAGGCCCACCATAGTTCCGGCCCCGAGTCACACCACGATGTGTCCTCCCGCGTTGGTGTTGTTCACCACCCTTCAATTGCGCGCCATCACACGGCACGACCACCCGAGCCTCCCAGCTCCGCAACTGCTGCCAAGGCTGACATCAACAGTAGCTCCGCTCCAGGTGATGCATCACCAGATCACCCTATGGGTGATATTGCGACACCCTCGAGAGGTGCCCCGTCAACCGCGGCTGCCACTCAACGTCCACACCGCGCCCCCGTTCCTTTTGACCAGCTTTTGGATCGGGTGCGTCTGTTTGACTTGCTATCACTCCATGCTAGGTCAAGGACGACGTGATACCAGACCTCATACCCACCGAGTTGTCAATTTTGGTGTGCGGCAGGTGCATGACGATGCTATTCAGTATTTGCGTGACCACACCAAGCTCACCTTTGCTGATTCCAAGTCTGTGTGCCGTCTCCTTTATGAATACTGGTCTTCATGTGCTTGAGACATCTTGACCTTACTCGAGTTTGCCTTCCTCGTTCAGAGTGCGCCCAACCTCATTTTTGTTTGTGAGCGGCTTCATAGAGAGGCATTGGGTGTCATACTGATGATGTTACTAGACACGAGCCCCGAGACTGACCAGCTCAGTATGTGTCTTACAAGTGCCATCCAACGAAAAACAGACAGCCCTTCGCCTAATACACTTTGACCGTCCTGCTATAGGTGGCATGTTAGCAGATGCTGTCAATTTGAATGATGAGTATCTGCAAGAGGGTGGCCAGGACCGCGAACTCCTTGCGGTGTGGCTCAACTTGTTTGCCTCTCGCTGAAGGCCCAAGTTGTTGGCGAGTGTCTCACGTGAATACGCTCTTTGCGCGGCTCTCCTTGTACAGTCGCTCTTCTCCCGCATCACCGCCATCTGTAATGACTCACAACAACGCAGCTGGGCTGCTGGTGATGACTCGTGCGTATCTCGCGTCGATTCTGAAGGGATGATCGTATGAGATATGTGCATGAAAGATTCATGCCAAGTGCACGCCTCACACGGACCCAATCTTCTCCCCAGACAAACCATTGTTGGAGTCCTTGAGCAGCTGGAGGAGCTGACCATTGTATGCAACCTCTTATTTCGTGCTCTTTCCACCTGCCCCGATGCACTTCGGGTGTTGTCACACCCTTACGTATATCACCGCGTGCAAGTAGGCTGCCAACCCCAAACTAGTCCAAGGACTCGTGCGTGATTGGCAAACACAAGGAAGCATGGGCGAGTACGAGATTATCGACACACTTGTTCGATATTACCAAATGGTTCGTGGTCCTGAAGACGAGCCACAATGATACCTCCAGCCATGTGCAACAGAACTTAGCGCTCTGCTCATGGCCCTGCCACGCGCCGCAGGAACAACGCACTGAACTTCAACTCTACCTTGTCCGCATCCTGGGCGGGGTGGCGCGTATTGATGATGGCATCATCGAGGCCTTGAAGGTCTGTACCCAATCTTGTCCTCATTCCCAACAATATGCTGATGCTTTCGCCATGTCATCTGTGCTCCCTCGACCTTGATGGCGATACCGCTGGCCTGCAATCGATCAGCGGACGCTTTGAGCTGGCGCAACTCACGCCTTTTCTGTTTTTTTGGCCTGTTGTGGTGGATAGCTCACAGTTCTGCCCGTGGAGCTGGTGCGTGGGTGTTGTGAAGCACCGTGGAATCCGCTCAACGCAAGTCTCAACTACTACAGCCTCCTCTTGGAGACCATGCTCTTTGCCGACGGAACAGCAATCAATTTTGCTCACTATGGTTAGTCGGAATAAGCGTATTCTCATTCGCTCTCTCCACACAGCTCACGTCTACGTCTTTTGGTGCAATGTGCAATACTCTCCTCTGCGGGGGCTGGGTGGTTGACTGATGGACGTAGAGTACTTGAATGCCAAGTTTGTGCTGTCGCTCTTGGATATCGTCGAACATGTACCCACATCACAAGCGCAACGACGGGTAGGATTGGCTTGAGGCAGCTGGCTTGGCAGCCGGGTTCACGCCCCAAGGCAGAGTTCAAGAGATGTCGCACCTCTGTTCTCAGATCAAGTTGACCTTGGGCTATAGATTGGCGAGCAGGCCCTTGCTTTGATCTTGGCTTTCAATCGCCACTTTCCACCACACGCAGACAGCCAACAGAATGTCGTAAGTCGATCTACCCTGTGAACATCATGAAAACTGCTGAGCTCTAAGTTTTGCAAGCGCCTTGTACAGCGTGCCATTGGTTTTCGTGGCCTGCGGTCTGATTAAATTGCTGATGGTGTGTGTATACATCCAGGTCCTCCAAGCTTTGACGCACCGCGATGCCGGCCGTTTTGGCGAGAAGCTGATGGAAAACTTCAACACTTTGACTGTTCGTTGCGGCGCAATCGTGGCTGGTGATGTCTTTTGAGCTGAAACTGTCGACTGACTTGTCCTGGTGCATTGCATTGCCTTTTGGTGATCGGGATCGAATCGTGCTTTAGGATCCAGTTGCAGAGAGCACCAAACTGTTTCCCACTGGACAGCCACTGGCACGAGAACACAGCATTGTCAAGTTGTTCAAGGTCTTGTTTTTTGTCACCACGCTTGCACTGTGATTTTCCGCCGTGCTGTCGCTGAGTGGTGCTCCTTGTTGAGATATCAATCACGGGGGCTGACTCACCAGTCTTGAACATGGGGATGCGTTTGTGTTAGGATGTTTTTCGCTTCCCGGTTGGTAAGCGATTGTTGTATGAGAGTGACTGTCGTGTTTTGGTGGAAATTCTCCTTCGCGAAATTGGCTCAACGCCTATGCCTACTGGGGTGAGTCAAGTCAATGGTTGCCGACTCGAGCACCGCAAATTTTTTCTTCTTTTTCCCCCTTCAAGGGAGCTTGAGAACTCGCGCTCCCAATGACCAGTTCTGTAACGAGTCTCTGACGCAAGTCAACCGCCTTGGGATTACTAACTTCTTGGTTGGATCAATTTGGTTCTTGATAGGAAACCCAACTTGAGCTGCTCGAGTTGTTGGGTTGTGTCATTGGCAACAGCAAGTATGCCCGCGGTGACACGCTGGACGATTACGTGCGCGATGTGCTGGTGCATCTGCGAGACGGTGATGTTGAATCTGAGACTGGCTACGTTCCTCAAATTCGCACCGTCAGTGACCAGCTGCTGGGTGCCTTCTTCTGAGGCAACGCAAGCCTCTAGCTCCAACATTAGCTTAGAGGCTGCTAGCGAGGCGGTCACGCTCAGCCAACTCGCACGTGAGCGTATGCGCAAGCGTATGCAAGTACTGCTCAAGAGGAATACCGCTTGGCTACAACGGGCAGCGTGCCAGTGTGATAAAAATTGTACCGCGAGATGCGCGAAAGCAGCTGACACCCTGTCTTACCTGGCGACATTGGCAATGCGCTAGAAGCGGGAGTTTTTTCAGAGCACGTGCAGACAGGCCTTCGCTTCGCCTGCGCTCTCGCGGGTGGCGGAGAATAATTCATAATCAACATGACATCTGATGCCTTCAAAAAAAAGCAGAGCAATCAAGACTGACTCGACTATATCCATGAAGCACAAAAGCTCAGAGGTCACTTGGCCATCATGTTCGTCACATCTAATAAGGAGGAGAAATCAGGCGCCATTGTGAACATGATTTCGAGTCATTTTTAAGGTATTTTTTTTTTAATAACCAAGAATGTTGGCGCTGAATCCGTGCAAACGCTCTGAAGCCTGACAAAGGACAAGAAGATAATCTGAACCATCCTCCCTACCCCCTGCAGCGAGGTACTTCTTGCCCCTGATGGTCTTTCAAATATTACCTGCGCAGCTCGATGATAGCTTTGGCCAGCTCAAAGTCGTCGAGCTGTTGCGCTGTACTGACAATGCCTTTGCGCACAAGCTCACTCAAAGCCAAGTGAAGAATGCGGTATCGAGCGGCCAGAGACGGTGGCCCCACGTGAATTTTGAGGTCCGCTCTAAGAGTCGCATATTGTAAAGATGAGAGAAGGGCAGTGCCCTGTTGATACCACACCGGAGGGGCTGCTCGACCGCCTCTCACCGATCCACGAAGGCAACATCAACTGCTCCGGCGAGATTGCTGGTGGTCAACAGCATCACATTCGGAAAATAGGACAACTGGTCAATTTGCGTCAACAGTGCATTGACCACTCGAACGGCATCACTTGGTTCTGAGCCGTTGACCGAGGCTGAGCGAGCCGCTGCCAAGCTCTCCACCTGATTGCCACACAAATCGCAGCAATGAATTTTCGTTCGGAACCGTCGGCTTCTAGCAGCAAGGCAAGATGCTCGTTCGGTTCGCACATCCATACCAAGCGCATACCTCGTCGACGAGAATGATTACCAAGGTTTGCTCGTTGGCCGCCAACTCGCGAACCTGAGCGAACAGTCGGGTTACGAGCTTGCCGCTCTCCGAAAACCATTTGGAAAAGAGGGAATGGCTGTTGATCTCTACCAGACGGGCGTGCACATAACTACTCAAAGATGGAGGCGTGGTCAGATGGGGCAGATCAAAGGCCAAAGTCACAGCAGCGGGTGAACAATTTCTCAACCACAGAACACCTTCACGCATCTGAGCCTATCATAGCAAGCTGATGCCGGATCCCACCGTGGGCTCAGGAGGATGGAGAGTTTTTGAGCCAAGGCCTTGCATAGCGAGGTCTGGAAACAAGCGCCATGACGAGTTTCAAGAATGGGGGATGAGCCATCGCCATAGCAGGACCCTCAAAGGGCGCACAGGCATGGGTACAGCTGGCGCGGTCAAAAAGTGCACAAACTGGCCATCGATATGCGCGCCCACCTTGCCGGTACCCGGAGGACCGTGAAGCAGGATTGTCTTGTTCCAGGCCACGAGGCTGGGGTTGACGCCGCGGTCACTAAAGTGGAGAATGGAGAGCGCATAGCGCAAGAGTGTTTGCTGGATTGCACCATCGTACACCAAGCTCTCCCAAAGATCTCGAAAACGCACAGAGGGGAGCAAGGACTAAAGCACTCCGATCAGCATGGTCATGGTTCCCGGTCAGAGAATGTCCGCATCACACAAGGACCAGCACTATGCTCTGCTCATGATTTAGCTGGCAGTGCAAATGCCAACGCCCCCCCCCCCCCCCCAAACACACACGCACACACGCACACATCAACGCGCTCTCACTTGTGTGGCGTTGCTGGCCTGATCCGGCTCGTCGGTAGCCATTTCATCGATCTCCTCGAGGGCACCGCCCGGATACAGCTGATAGACAAGTAGCTGCAGGTGATCTTGCTCAACGCACGGAAGCAATTGTGCCCCCTTGAGCAGAGTCAGTGAGATGAGGATGATGGGCGGGAAGGGACCGTACAACCGCAGCAGCGATTGCAAGAGGCGATGACCTTTTACGGTGGGGCTGGGGTGAGTATGGACAAACCTGATCCAGCTCGTTAGTAATGCAGACCGTCACACGAGCAATGTGCGTGTGAAGGTAGGCATTGGCAGGGCGACGCGCGGCAAAGCGTTCTTGGATCTCAAGCACTGGCATCTCGCCGTACACGCGGACGAAGGCATCACGCAAGTGTTCTGGAGGTTCATGGCTCGATTGAGCCTGTTCAAGCTCCACCGCATTCATGTTCCTTGGTGGATGCCAGCCGTTCAACGCTTCTGAGTAAATGATCTTAATGGGGCTGTTGGTTGCAGTCGTGGAGATGTGCATGCGACCCCTCACACACACACACACACACACACACACACACACACACACACACACACACACACACACACACACACACATTTCTACAAAGGGTTCGACTTTTTTTTTTTTTTTTTTGTCGACAAACTTTGGGGGTTTTTTGGCGGGAAAATGAGAATTGTCAGCATCACTGAATAGGGTTCGCTGGTCCAATTAGACGGTGGTGGTTGCTGTTGAAGCATGTCGTCATTTTGTGCAGCAACAATCTACTTGTTAGGAAAAGATGGTAACAACCTCACGGCCACCACCACGGACCAGGAGCACACGCTGAAGGTTTTCGGTCAGAACCTCCACAAACTCCAAGTAATCCGTGGCTTTGTCCAAGTCCTCGGCACCCGTCACCGGCACGTCGGGCAAATTGATGAGGACGAGGCTGGCATTTTTGCTGTGTTCCATCAACATTCGGTTCAGCTTGACTGACGTATTCATCATGCGCACGTTTTCGTTGGCAAAAGACGGGCCATCTTGACCAGGCGGTTTCTCGGTTTGAGTGGGCACGGCTTGCTCAAGAACGTGCTTCTGTTGACGCCGTGTCAGTTGCAGTTTGTGAAGCAAGCTACGCCGGTCTTCCATGCGGCGCGTGCGTTCCACCGTGTAGGCTGCAATATCGCTGTCGAGCATCTCCACCACGCGCACATCGGCGTCAATGCGCAGATGGTACAGGAATGTTTGCAAGTCCCGTTCCATCTGAATCGTGTTGTCGTCGTTCTCGGCCACAGTGAACACACGCAGGCGGCACTTACGCCACACCGGATCGTGCTGCAAGAGGTAGCCGAGCAAGAGTAAAAGCCCGCCCTCATGCAAAATCCACCAGACATCAATCGTGCCCGCTTGCTTCTCCTCCATGGTGGGAAAGAGATGGAGGTTTTTGGGCACGATAATAGCGTGCTGCTGTAAAGAGCAAATACTGAGCGTTTCAAAGAAGAGCGTAACCTGCTGCATTGAGGTTAGCATATCCGATTCAGAGGCCGTGTTGCTATCCATGGCGGACCGCCAACTCTCGGGCCAACCGAGTAAGACGCTGTTATGCTGAAGTGCACCCAGACCGGCACCCTGCATAAGGTAGCTTATTCCCTTCACGGAGACACACAGGAAGTGAGACGTGGTGTGACGCAAGTTGCAGGATGCCTCGGCCGCTCTGTCCTGGACAACAGACATGCAGCTGACTGGGAGCCATCAAATGGTTTGCATAGCGACCCGTATGTACCTGGGCCACGTCCTGACTGATGATGACTTCAGCAAAGCCTTGAACCATGTGAGATTTGAGGGCTGCCTTGATGGCCACCTCTCCCGTGAACTTGTCGGCCATGCGAATCTTGAAATCCCCGGGGAGGACGCTGCCGACCATGTTCAGGCCCTTGCCACCCTTCAGGTGGCCAGCGAGAGCGATGAGGCGAGGCTCGTCAACGTCCAAAGTTTCGGGATGCAGTTTGATGAGCGTCAGTAGTTGAGGGCGCCAATTTTTAGTATGTGTTGAGATGGTCGCTTCCTCCAGCCGTAGCAGGCTATATCGTGCAGCTTGCATGCTTAAGCCCCGGATACCATCGCCCCATTCCTTGGCAGCACCCTTGAACTCGATATAGTAGTATACCTGAATCAGGAGATGCCAATGCAAACGAATGAGCAAATCGCAACGGCAAATATGCCACACTGACACGATTGCGGAGATGAAGCGTGCGTTGAAAAAAACCAAAGGGCAGTCGTGGGCGCATAGCGGACGCGGGCTGGTTTCAGTAGGCAAAGTGACCTCAGCACGCACCATAACAGCCAAGAAGGTGGCCACAAAGGCGTAGTACCAGCTTGAGATGAACATGAGAAGGATGCACAAGAGCAAGCCAAAGCTACTCAGCCCCCAGTGGTAGTACTTGAAGCGGGGCCGCCAGGAAGGGGACTTGAGCAACGATTGCAAGGAGCAGGCCAAGTTGACAAAGCCGTAGCACAGCAAGAAAAATTGAGTCACTGTTCGATAGCGAACAATGTCCCAAATTTATATATATAAAAAAAAAAAAAAGAGTGTGTGAGTTTTTGACCGAAACCAACCAAACAATCAGTCCCTTCCTGGACACACGGCTTGGCTGAGCGGTGCAAAAACAAACAAGAAAATAACCAGAAAAAAAAAACAAAACGGGTTGGATGGTCATACCCAGGGGCGCGACTGAATCGAGACTAGCAATCATAACCCCGATCCAACCTGCAATGACCAAACCAGCAATTGTATATTGTGAGTTTTTTTGACGCACACGAAAAACAGAAACAAGAAGGGGGGAAGCCACATACTTATAAAGACGGTGAGAATGAGAGCACGGGTGGGTTCGCCCGAGGCTGAGGCCTTGCCAAAAATCGACAAAAAGGGCAAAATGCTGTCTTGCGCAATGGCTTGCAGAAGACGAGGGGCGCCCATGAGACTCTGCAGGCCAGCTCCAATGGTGGACAGAGCAGCCCCAATGAGGATGAGCATGGGATGTGGCCAGCTGACTTCGGCAATGACGTTGCTGCCAGAGATGGAATCGCCAAACTTGTCCCGAAGCACGGGTCCAAGCACGGCACCGCCCAGGAAGAGCACCATGGTGATGTAGATGAATGTGGTGGTCAGAATGGCCGCAATCGTGCCCACAGGAATGGAGCGGCTGGCATCACGCAGGTCGCCCGATCGATTAGAGCCCGCCATGATACCCGTGCAAGCTGGGAAAAAGATGGCCAGAAGCACAGTAAAAGATGCCGTCGCGTCTGCCACGACTTGCGGCTTCTCGCCTGGCACCCCTGGTTGTGTTTCACCTTTGCCCAGGTAGTTGGAATGTACATTGGCATGCATCTGGCCTGACCCCAGGCCTGGAAATGCGCGCAGGCGCTCAAAGGTGGAGTTGACTGTGAGAAAATCGTAGCTTAGGTTCCGATCAAGGTCGGCCACGCTGCAGTTGCCTTCGTAGCCCGAGTTGATGAGATTGCCGTCAATGAGGCAAACGTCTGGTTGACGCGCCTCAGGGGAGGCGAAGAAGCCAATGTAAATGAGAAAGATGGAGACGAGGACAGCCACGAGGCAGACGTTGGCAAAGCGATTGACGTATTTCACGCCAACAAAGACGATAAAGCCAAGGAGGAGCAGAAGGACGGTGCCATAGAGGCGCATGTTGCTGAGCATGGCGTCTGATCCTGGTGCTGCGTCGCCAAAGGCAGACATGCCCGGGGCCATATAGGTGAGCAGTAATTCGATGGCCCCGAGCACGTACATGGACGATGCAAAAGTGGTGCCAAGGTAGAAAAGAATACCCACGGCCCCGCCAAATTCTGGTCCCAGACTGCAGGTCCGGGGGCGATGATATGGCGCGGGCATGGGTGAGCGGCGAGCACTTATTGCGGGCAGCGGACCGGATTAGTGGCCGTGACGAGCCTCTGCTTACTTGCGACTGATCATAAAGTAGGCCCCACCAGCAGGCACGACGCCGTTTGTTGCAATGGCCGACATTGAGACGGCAGTGAGAAGGGTGGCTGTGCAGCAGATGAATACAATCAGCAAAGTCTACGGACATGGGTTATCAAGCAAGGAGAGTATGAATGAGCAAAAGAGGGTTCAAGAGTACACCTAGAAGCTACAAGTGCCATGGCACGCGGTCATGGCAAAGGAATCTCAAAGGTGGAAGTACACTGACTTGGCCAACGCCGGCGTTGCCAACGATCCAAGCAAGACGCAAGTAGAGCAACACGCCCAAGATACTGGCACAACATAAGACGAGCAGCATGAAATGAGTGGCCTTTGAGATGCATTTGATTGGCTCGAGGTTCTTGACATACTTTTGAATCGTTGGAAGGTAAACCCCTGTGAGTGTGCCCATCTTGACTGGCTGGCAGCGGTCGAGAGCAAAAGGGGTCAATGAAGCAGTGGTGACAGGGCTCGTGGTGCCAAACGTCAGGAGAAAGGACCATACCTCTTTGCGCAGAAGGGCTAGCATGGATGCCTCAGCGTTGAGTCCGTTCTGTTCGTCTGTGCGCGTGCGTCAAAGCACGAAGGAACACAAGAGTGGCGCAAAGAGAGCGTCAGAGCGGTGTGTATGGGTGGCAAGTCTTGGACTCTTGGGTTTGGGGCAGAGTACTACCTTCGTGGTTGGTATTGAGCCGGACTAGGGAGCTGAGAACCTGAGCCACTTTGGGGCGTCGTGTTCGCGAGGTCTGCAACAAAAAAACACATGCGTATGCGCGTGAGGGGCTCTTGTAAGTAAGAATGGCACGGAGCAAAGCTTGCAACTGCACCAGGTCAATTGGGCAGTCACAAGATACCCTGCTGGGTTGGCAAAGCAAGGCAGGCATGGCAGCAGCAAGGTGACCTGGAAAAGGGCAAGGTTGTCGCTGTCATCCTCGTAGTCTTCTTCCTGGCGCGCAATGTCGGAGAGGTTGGCAAAGGGATTGGCATGGGGCTGATCATCGTCCGAGTCGGAGGAGGTGCGAACAAATCCAGAGGGTCGAACGGCTGTGTGGTGTGTACAAGGATTGAAGTAAATTTTAAGCATCATTCGAGCGCGCAGGTTTAAAAGCGGGCAGCCAGAACGGCACGGTCAGTCAAAGAAACATATAAGCTCGTGTGTGTGTGTGTGTGTGTGTGTGTGTGTGTGTGTGTGTGGGTGGGTGAGGCACATCAAAGAGGACCTCGGATGGACACGCTGGGATGCTGAGATGCGAAGAAGAGTGAGGTGGTCACGTACCAGAGGAGTCACGTTGACTGCCGTTGCTCCCCATCATGGATATCTCCATGTAGTCAGTGTCCTCGTCCATCATGGTGCCCGGTGACAGCTGAGGACGACCCTCCTAGCTGCCCGCCCGCAGTTGGGCACAGCACGAGGCAGGTGGTGGATGTATGACAGTCAAACTGATCAGAGGGACCGACTTGGAAATTATTGCACCGGGACGCGGCTTGCGATTTGTCGTCGCACAATGCGCGGATAATAATATGTCGGTGGCACGACTTGGGGCTGCACTGCCAAGTGACAGCGCACCACCAGATTGTTGCTTCCAACGCTCGAGCGCAGTGTCGAGGCTTCCAGAAAAAGAGGAGTAGCCACTGGCGTTTTGATCTGTACTCTTGCAACCTGTTGCTGCGATGCCAGGTGTTTGCTGGCAGGCCGGGAGAGCGCGGCGGGGGGAGCTGGTCGGGTGAAGCGCGCTTTGCATCACCACCTTGCACCAACAAGAACGAACTGTGAACTGTGCTGACGTCGCAGCTTGCTGCAATAACTGCCTCATTCGCGACGCGTACTGTCACGGTGATGGTATTTGCATCTGCATGTTTCGCTACTTTTGCTGCATTATCCCTCGAACACGGAAAAGAATTTTGTTGTTGTGGCGGACAAACGATTTGATCAGGGTGGGGATGTGGCTGTTGGCTGCTCGGTCACGACGCGACGCGGCTGTGAAGACGCACGTATAGCAGACTGCTTAGCGTCAAGAGCTGGCCATCGTGACGAGGGGAGAGGGCTTGTCATTGCAAGGACGTGCGGCTGAGCATCGAGACACCGGCTGCACGCGGCTTCGTTTCATGCAGAATCGACGGCTCATCCGTGCCAAGAGGTTTGGACGATAGACTCACATGTCAATTTGCTCTGGGCGCAGAGCCAGTGCCAGAGTCTTGCGCTTGGCCAAGCACGAGGGAGAGAGAGCGCAGAGCAGAGCGAAGCTAGCCGCAACCCGAAGTGATACAATAGCTCGTCCAGGATGCCTTTGAGCGTCGGCGATGTGTACGTGGAGGATGACGACCTGGCCTTGTTGCCTGCCGGTCGATGGTGGAATGACAGCGTGCTTGCGCTCTGTTATGAGTGGCTAGAGCAAGAGCTGCAGCCGGCGAAGACTGGCATATGGTTAATGCAAGCCAGCCTGGCACATCTTCTCAAGTTTCTGGTGGATGAGGCCGAGCAGCAAGCCCTTCTTGCCGGCGGACCCGTTCCCAATTGCGACCACTGTTTCATCCCGTGGTCGGATAGTCGCAGCCCGGATGCCAACTCGGGCACACATTGGACGCTCCTGCACTATGATGTGGGAGCAGGTCAGGTCTTTGTCTATGATTCATTGTGTGGGCCTGTGGAAGGGGAGCGTCCCGCGCTGCCGTGCTCCTATGCCATCACCTCGGCCTTAGCACGTCTCCAGCAGCGACCGGAGCCCCAAGTTTATCGTGGGAGCTCGCCTCTCCAGCGCAACGGGTCCGACTGTGGGCCGCTGGTGGTGCACAACACGGCGCGTCTTTTATGTGGCCTCTTGGGGGTGCCCTTTGACCGGCAGCCAACCGCAGAGCGGGCATACTGGCAGGTACGGCTGGTGGTGCATCGCGATCACTGCCGGATGCTCGGGGTACTTGAGAAACGACAAGGAGGAAAGGACTGAAGGGACATGGTCAATTATTCGGGCGCACAGGGCGCAGTGATGGCCCGCGCAGCGGGCCGGCTCTGAGACTCACGGCACGCTCATTCGGCTGCTCGCGGGTGCATGAATCCGTAGGATCGAGTTGAGTCCCACATCAACGGCCGGGACAACAGTGTTCATAGCACAGCAGAGCCCTGAAGCAGGTGGTGCAAAGCCTAATTCAAAGAAATAGCTATCCTGGACATTTTTTTTTTCACCACCTCCACACAGGTGTAAATCCGGCGAGGCCATGCTCGCGAAGAGTCACAGCAGCTGGGTGAGATTGGGAACCAGGTCTGCTCCGACCACCTGCTGAGCCGAAAGCGTTCAGGTTGAAGCCATTTGACAAGAAGCAATACTTGATGTTAGTGCCACTCATTCAACCGGCGGCGGAGTTCCGTAGCGACGGGGCCGACCCGCGGATCGACGCCGGCTGGAATGGTTGGTCGACTTGCGCATCCAGGTATAGAGCAGGCTAAAGGCGATGGCCAGGGTGACGGGCAAGGGTACAAACGCTGCAATGTAGCTTATGGATGTGTGTCCGTCCAGCTTCAGGGGGATTGACACGTCCAGCCAAAGCTTGGTGACGACCAACCCCGTGTACATGACACGATCAAACCAGGGACGGGTATAGCTCTTGCGCAGCCAGCCAATGAGAGCTGCGATGGCCAAGGCATCGTGCACATAAAACGGGATCCAAATCAAGAACCAGGAAACCCCACTCCCCGCTGACACGAGGGTGATGAGCGTGATCAAGCCCAGGAAGAGCAGCCACTTGGGGTGTAGCAGCAGCATCAGCAGCTCATTGCCCTCCATCTCGAGAGAGAGAGAGAGAGAGAGAGAGAGAGAGAGAGAGAGAGAGAGAGAGAAGAGAAATAAAGGGCAAAGATACAAAGGAAAAGCACAACTACCACATGAGAGAGGGAAGAAGGAAGAGTTTTGCTGACATTTGTGTGTGTTGTTGTGCTTGGATTCACAACACTTGATCACACTTGGTAACTGTCCAGATTGGCAGGGTCAGCCGTTTGTGGCAGCGGAGGAATAGGGCAGTGGGCATGGCTGCTTGGACTGGGCGAACTCGACCGAGGCATGGCGAGTACCCCCTCGAGGGAGAAGCGCATGATTCAATTAGCAGATCCGTCGAGCGGCGACAAGGGCCGAGTGTGCGTGCTACCAAGATCTTTTGTTACATGATAATAATGCTTATGGCAACTGCACTACTGTTCTCTCTTTTTCTCAATCTCTATGTGTGGTGCCCTTCTCTTTTGGTTTCTCTCTCTCTCTCTCTCTCTCTCTCTCTCTCTCTCTCTCTCTCTCTCTCTCTCTCTCTCTCTCTCTCTCTCTCTCACACACACACTCCCTCTCTCATTCTTTTTACTTTTGTGTGTGAGGGAGCGCATCGCGAGTTGGCCAGCTTTTGTCGGCGAGGGCGCGTCACCCAGTGGACACTGGCCGCAGTCGAGCAATCGTTGCTGGATCTCATAGACGCGGGCCTGTCAGGTGTCAGATAGTGTCACTGCATCAGCCCCTTCAGCTTATGCCTGCTACATCTCCAAGAGTCGCTTAGGGTGACCAAAGCCACCCACCTACCCAAAGCTCACGCCTTGTCCCGGTGCATGTCCATCTCAATCTCCTCTCCGCCTTGCGCGCTCGAGTCTGGGTATTGAGGCAAACAGCACCATGGACAAACCCTCGTTTGAGCACTCCTTCTGGGTGGGTACTGGCAACCGCATCTCCTATCTGGACATGTCCCCTGCCTTCCTGCTCTCCACTCACGCCAATGAAACGGGTTTGATTTCCTCCCGCTGATCGGACCTCTGGTCTTGCCGGCCATAGGGGGCGGACATGCTGTCCACCAAGGGCTTTGATGTCCTCCATGCACGCATGAAGGATTCGAAGCAGTTCACAGAGGATGTGATTGGCTTCCTAAAACAGCGGTGCGTGTGTGGTCGGCTGAGCAGCGCAGGCCGGATCGTGCCTGAGCCCGTGGCCCAAGTCTGTATCCCAGCTGCCTACTCATGTCATTCGACCTTCACCACGACACAGTGCCAGCATCGAAGAAACCTATGCCAAAGCCCTGATGAAGTTGGCCAAAGGTGCTGGAGGTACCACCGAATCCGGGTGAGAACCAATGTATCGCTTGTGGCCCCTCCGTCACCCTCTCGTGTTGACCTGCTTCTTACCTCATCCACATCTTGTCGCATCCAGGACCATGCGCAAGTGCTGGGATGTTCTGGTGGGCGAGACACATAAAATTGGGGTCCAGCACTACGAAGTCTCCAAACACATCTCCACCGACATGGAGCAGACAATTCAGAACCTGCGTAATGCCCAACGCGAATTTCGTAAAAAAATTGAGGAGCCTCTGAAGAAGGCACAGAAACAAAAGGTAGGCCAGGGCCGTCAACATTTGCCTCAATTACGCCGCTTGAAGACACCTGGGTGTTCCTCAAAGGCCCAACGACACCTTGTGACATCCACAGGCACAGCGCTTTGCAGCCAATGAGAAGGCGCAGCGCGCCTACAACACGCGCTGCCGCGAAGCCGAAAAGGCCAAGGAAGATGTGGCTACTTCTGCTGCCCCGCCCAAAGAACTGGAGAAGCTACGCGCCAAAGAAAAGAAGGCCGTGGTACGCTGTCAGAGCATCTCATTGAGCAAGCACCTCTGCTGTTTCTCATGGACTTGCTCTCCGCGTTGAGTGGCTGTTTGATGACCCGGAAAGGTGATCATGGGTTCAGGCTGACTGCGCGGATCGTTGTCTTTGTGTTTTTCCTTTTCTCCCTTTCCGCCCATCACCTTAGACTGCTGCTGAGCAAGCCGACGCTGCATATCAGCAGGCCGTTGCAGCCTTGGAAGAGTCGCGTGTCTATTGGGAGCGACAAATGGTTCGTTTCCCGAGCCCCCCCCCCCCCCCCC